ACAACCGGAGCCCTCAAACCTACCTTAATCTGCTGGAGCCGACGTTTTTGGTAGGGTCCGGATATAAACTCCTGCTTAGAACTTATGGGAGCCCTACAAAAACTGAGGCTCTTTCAGGTTGAGGCTAATCATGCCCGGAGACGTAGAAGAACCCAGAAAGGAGCCCTTCACGGAACCCTCACAGTTCTTAACGGAACCCTTAAAGGCTCTCTTTCAAAGCGGCTCTGGCTCTTGAGCTTTGAGGCCTACTGCGGTGGCGTCTGGATGGAAGTCGCTTTGAAGCTGAGCTCCGCGTGCCTCGTTTCCGCGGCTCGCCTGAACCCAGAAAGCCATAAAACACCGCCGAAGGGTTCAGAGTTTAAGGGAGCCCTAAACCCTAAAGCGACCACCCGTCGTGGAGTCAGGTCGTCTCGTCGAGGGATGGCCTCTGGCTGTCCGTGGCAATCACCTTCGGAATGGCTGTGATCGTCGGCAGCGTCCGCCCCTTTGCGCAGCCCCAGGCAGGAAGCGGAAGGTTGAGATTCCGGGAAGAATGGACATTGACTTGCACCTCAGCCTCCTTGTAGTAACCCTTATCGCCACCGTGATAGCAGACCTCAAAGCATCCTGGTCCTGTCGCAACCTTTGTGGCAACTCGTGTAGCAAACCCGTATAGTAGCCATATGCTGCAGGTGAACACGCTCCAGAGCTTCAGCTTCTGTTGTGCCTCGGCCGACATTCGGGAAGGACCGACCCTTGAATGGAGAGGGTGCGGGGCGTGAGGTTTTGGGTTTGGGGTTTACGGCTTTGCGTTTAGGGTTTTGGCTTTAGGGCTTTGGGGTTGCAGGTTTAGTGTTTAGTGTTTAGGGCTGTTTAGGCTTTGGGGTTTGGGAGGTTGAGACTCATAAGAGGGTTTCTCTCGCAACACATATTCTCTCAGATCCCTGAAGCATAGATTCCGACGGGTCTGATGGCTGTCGGTGCCAGTCGGTGATCGCCGCAGAGCGAGAGGAAATATGGAGGCCAACAGAACCACATGATGCTGTTACTGCATATATATATATATATGCACACACATAGTCATACATATAGATAGACGACAGAGAGAGAGAGAGAGAGAAGTGAGATAGATAGGATACTTAGATACATAGAGTGAGATAGCTAGATAGAGCTAGATCTAGATCTGGATCTAGATACAGATATAGATATAGATATAGGTAGATATAGATATAGATATAGATATAGACAGAGATAGATACATCTAGATCTAGATCTCGATATACCCTAAACCCTAAACCCTAAACCTTAAACGTGAGGGTTTTTGGGATCTCTGTCCAGAGGAAAAGATTTCCTCCCAGGCCTGGCTCTCGCCGCAGTGGGCTTCGCGCACCGCTGGACCTCTCTGACCCACCTGGCCCTCTTGGTCCCATCCTCAGAAATGGGAGTTTCCGAAAATTAAGGGTATCTTTAAAAGGGATCCTTTAAGGGTTCCTACAAGGGTTCTACAAAGGGTTTGGGGTTTAGAGTTTCCGAAAATTAGGGGTCCCTTATTGGGGGGTCCTTATAAGAAGGATGTTACTATTGAGGGTACTATAGTAGGGTCCCCTATATTCGGAAACCCCCCCCCAATTCTCAGGGCTTCGGGTTTAGTTTTTACGGTTTAGGGCTTTGGGATTGCGGATTAGGGGGTTTTGGGGCTCTGGGTTCAGGGCTTAGGATCCAGGGTGTTCCGGAAGCTGTGGCCGCATTGCTTTCGGGTTCGCTCGTGTTTGTTTTGTGGTGAAGGAACTGGGCAGCACCACACGAGGGGCATGGCAGTCCTAAACCGTTCCTACTGTTTTGATTCCTCGATAAGACGCCCGTCCTCAGGGAGCCCCTAAACCAGCTCCCCTTTCCCCGATTCCTGTTGAGGAATTAGATCTAAGTTACCATGATAGGGATCTATGGTAACTGCAATGGCTTCCTTACTATGGTAACATTTAACTAGGGTTCTACCGTAAATATACCGTGGATTCCCTATTATGGTAACTGGGGATTTGCGGTAAATATGTCTTGGCTCCCTTGTTATTTCTTGAACCCGAGACCCTTAAGTCAAGTGGCTTAAAAAAGGGCTCAGATTCGAGCCCCTAAGGTCAGTATAGATACTCATGAAGGCCCCTATATTATAGTACTCTTATATATATCCCCTATAGTAGCCCTTATAGACCCCTTTGATTATTTGGGCCCCTTGTTTAGGCACCGGTGGTGCTGACGGCTCTTCAACTTCTGCGCCCGGACTCCCCGGAAGCCCTGGCCCTGCGGCTTCAGCAGGAGTGGTTTAGGGGTTTTAGGATTTAGGGCTTATGGTTTGGGTTCAGGGGCAAAGAGGTTGAGAGGTTTAGGGGTTTAGGGGTTCGGGGATTCAGGATTTCAGGGACGCGCCCAGTGTGATTGCGACACGTCATTGAAAGATGCCAGCCGCCGCTGACCCATGTCAAAGACGTGCCCTGAGCTCATGTAGATGAGAGTGCGTTAGCTGACCATCTCTATATACATATATATATATAGATATGTAAATTCACTGTCCCTATGGCCCTTCTGCTTCCTTGCATTCTTGTTTGCAGTGCTCTTGCCGAGCCACCGACACCTTCCGGCCTGGATTTTGTTGGGATTCACCCGCCCCTCACCCTCAAACCAAGGCGAGGGATTGGATACTCCTCTCTTGCGCCTTACATCCTTGTCTAGACGAGAACGCCGTCAGGCTTTGCTTGTTTTCTGTTCTTTTCCTCTCCCTTTCTGCTTGCTGCAGCTTCAGACTTTTATTCTGCAGTGAATGATCGCGCACCAAGGTCTATGTCTACCATGGTATGTATATTTCAACGGAAGTGAATGAGCTTGTCTCGATGCTGCCAGGAGCTGGCGAAGCAGCTCGATTCCTTGCGGCGTGGTGAGGGTGTGAGAGTCTGCGCAGAAGAAGTGCGGCTCCTGTAATACAGAAGCCACGTAGCCCGGATCCGTATTCAGGCCCCTACAGTTGCCTGCAAAAGTGGTCAACAAAAACAGTACCATGCTTTCTGCACCGGCTCCGAGTATCACAAAAGAAGCCAGTGACCTACTGTGGCAGGAACCAAGCTGTACACTTGCCTTCTTGCAAAAGAAGGGAAGATGAAAGATGACGCTTATAAGTAATTATATGTATAGTTACCTTATTTGTAACCCTAGTTGCTAAGTCCCATGATCCCCCAAGGAGACCCCAAACCCTAAACCTTCAAATGGAAGCCTATTATGGAGCCCTATACTATCCTCAAAAGGAGCCCTATACCCTAGTTACTAAGTCCCATGATCCTCCAAGTAGACCCTGTTATAGATCCCTTACCGATCCCTTCAAGGAGCCCTATTATAGAGCCCTAATCTACCCCTAAACCTAACCTACAGTATGAGTAAAGTTGGCCCCGGAGCGCTGGCAGCCCCAACAGCTCGACGTCCGGCAGGTCTCAACGTCGCAGCCTTTCTGCTGAGCTTCGATGCTTCGCCAAAACTGCTTGCGCATTTGCAGTGCTTGCTAGGGTTTAGAATTTTAGGGTTCTTAAGGGTTCGAAAGGGGTCTCAAGGGTTCTTAAGGGTGTCTCAAGGGTTCTTTAGGGGTTTTTAGGGGTTTTTAGGGGTTTAGGGTTTGGGTAGCGGCTTGGGATGTCAAAGGGTGCTCATTCTGTCTTCACGGCCGGGGCGTTGGCGGGGTACATGCTTAGTTACAGGCTAGGCTTTGCGACTCTGCATGCATGCCATTGTTTCTGCTCGTCTTCGAGAAATCAGTTGGGCTCATGATTGCTACTGCAAGAGTTTAGGATTTAGGGTTGGTTGCACTTGATAACCAAGCTTTAACTAGCAATGGCATTCGTGGCAGAGAGAATAGCCCACCTATCACATAGGTACCCAGGTAGCCAGCACAGCCAGTACGAATCCTTGGGTTACAAATCCTCGAAGTAGAACCTAAACCCTATGCCCTGAAGCCCCAAAAACCCTAATTCCTAAAAACCTACACACTACTTCCAAACCCTAAAGCCTAACACACACCAAAACTAAACCCCACTTAGATACTTGATTTCATGCTCAGGACCTGACTTGTGTTGGTTAAGGTACGTCGGGCACGTGTGTTCCTGTCGCTGTTCGATATATGAAAGCGTCGAAGAAGCCCCAAGGCAATTTGAAACACCCTTAACTGAATCCTTATAGGACCTTTGCAAACTCCTATACGAACCCTTACGAGATCTAAAAAGCCAGATAAGGTCCTCCTTGTTGGCTTGCGAGTGTCAAACTAGGTAGACCGACTAACTTATTGGCTGTAAACTCAACTTTTCAACTTTTGGGGTTCTTATAAGGTAGTCGATTCTGAAAGTTTCAACTTTTATTTCCTTGAGTTTGGGGCCAGTGAGCTACAAGCGAGAGAGAAGAACAAGCATCGTTGTGATTATGAACAAGAGATTGCCCTGTACCCTCTACATGACTGTGAAAGAACGCCATTCACACGGAACAGGGTCGCAGGGTACAGTATGGCAGAGTTCTACCGGGGACTTTTCGGCAATACTATGCCTAGTTTGTCCAACCCTAACCCTAAACCCTAAACCGTCAGTGAATCAGATCAAGGGAGTCCTCTAGGTCAAAGGTTTAGGGAGGTCACGACAGACTGAGCGTTATGCATGCGGTAGCCGCAGCTTGCTCCGATCTTAGTTGCATAGACGATTAGGCACGAGTTACTAAGAGGAAAACTCTCGTTTGTACTTCTTAACCAGTAAGTTTTTGTAGGACTTGGATCACATCGGAGTTTCAGATCATAAAGGGCCCCATTATCGGCCGGATGCACTAACCCAGAGGGTCCAAGTACCCAAATAATAGGGTTTTAGATGCCAAAATCCATACCCTGAGTGGTTTTTGGAGCTTGAAACCCTACTATTTGGGTACTTGGACCCTTAGGGTAAGATCCTCATAGCAAAGATCTCTGAGCAGGGCAGCCGTAGCATTGACGAGTAGAAATCTCGGCAGCCATGAGGCTGTGCCTGCTTCCCATCTTGAGCCATGCCTGGTACGGTTGGCGGGAAGATGAAACAGGTATCTATGCGGAGGTGCAGGTTGCATCCGCACCGTTCAAGTCGAACTTTGCGCACCTGAAGGACGGCAAGCCAAGGAGAATCTGGATAGAAGTCGGGGCGCACGTCTGGGAGAATCTGCAACATTCGCATGTGTTTGGCAAGTCGGAGAACGACTTCCTCATATCTTTCGAGCCCCTGCTTGACAAATATGCCATGCTGTTGAGTGAGTATAAGGCAGATGTTACTCAGCGGCGACCGCTGGGATTTCAACACCAGCGAGGTCTTGTTTTTCCCTTTGCTGTTGGGTGCGACGATCGCTACACACCCTTCACTGTGACCAACTTTGACATGTGCAGCACGGTGCTGTCGCCGACAGATGACGAGTATGGTTACTGGCCACCGGAATGTTCCACTGCAGTTGACAAGCGCATGGTCCCGTGCATTACACTGCGACATGTGATTGAGTCCTGGCTTTCAGGACAAGAGGTCTTCTACTTGAAGATAGACGCTCAAGGCTTTGATCTGAATGTTGTGCAATCTGCAGGTCCCATGCTGCGGAAGGTGGAGCACATTGAGCTCGAAGCAGCCTGTGACCGTTCTCAGCGGCTGTACCCGAAGGCACCTAACTGTTCCAGTACTTGGAACTTTATGAATCGTGCTGGGTACCGATGTGTTCAGCTGCATGACATTGAGCACCCGAAACTGGGTGTGGCGTGTGACCGAAATCGAGGTCGAATTTGGTGTCAGATATGCAAGAGAGAAGTCAGCATGTTCTTCACTCGACTAACGAAACCTTTTAAATTTTGGAAAGACATTTGATGCTTGTGAAACCCGTCCGTGGCAGAGAATGGCAGAGAAAGCATCGAAGGGGTTGAGATTAAACCCTAAATCCTAAACCCTATGCTTTCCTTGATTTCTGGCCCCATGGGTTCTCACCGCACAATCAGAGTCTTCCCGTCTGCCTTGACTCCCTAACCCCTAAACAAGAGGCCCTTTACCCCAAAAGCCTGAACACCTACACCCAAACCCTAAACCCTAAACCCTGAACCCTGAACGCATAAACTCTAAAACTTAACGCGTAAACTTTAAAACTGAAGCCTGGAAGCAAGATTTTTTTGCCGCCAGCTCTTTTGCTGACACAACCAAAAAGTCCGAGGTAGTACTAGGGAGACCCTTTAAAGGGGACCCTTCTTAACCCTACTTAGCCTACTTCTGGCTGACCTTATTGAGAGGGTCTATTTCCCCAAGGGTCCTAATCCCAAAAGGGAGGCGACTTCCAGCGTACAACTCGAGGCAGGAGCTGCTCAACTTGCGGCGCTTTGCAGCTTAACCCCGCCCTAAACCCTAGACCCTAAACCCTAAACCCCTAAATCCCTAAACCCCAAGCCCCTGAACCCTAGACTCTAAACCCTAAACCCCTAAATCCCTAAACCCCAAACCCCTAAAAAACCCTAAACCCTAAACCCTGAGGAGCACCTGTAAGCCCTAAGACCTAACCCTCTGAACCCTAAACCCCTCAACCCCGGAACCCCAAACCCTGAAGTGGGGAGAAGAAGCAGTGCCACGGTTTAGGGTTTAGGGTTTAGATGTCAAAGTTTTCTTTCGGCGACCCTCGCTTTGTGGCCTCATGCTGCGTCTTTGGGTTTAGCTTCTCAGCGAGCTGCCAGGCCCTGTAGCCTTAAACCCTCATGGTGTCAATGCCTGAACCCTAAACCCTAAACCCCTGAACCCTAAACCCCAAAGCTGCGAAGGGGTGGCTTTCTCTTCGCCTGGAGCCGGTGTCGTCACAAGGCTACCGGCGTGGCCATGGTGGGGGTTTGGGGTTAGGGCATATCTTGTAAGGTACATCCGTACAGGTGGATGGGTGCATGCACGTTTCTTTGCTTGCCACACAGCATGGCGCATGCCTGCAAGATATTGTGTACGTGGCTACATGCATAAGTACATACGTAGGTGCAAACTAGGTATGCACGTATGCATGTATGTAGGCTGTTAGGTCTGTCGGTCTGACTGTTTGACCGTCTGACTGTCCGACTGTCTGACTGTCTGTCTGTACGTATGTATGTACGTATGTGATTATGCATGCATATCTGCATGCGCTGCATGCATGTATGTCTGCATGTACATGTATATGTGTGCTCATCCACAAGCACACCAATTTGGGGTTATGATATAATGTTTAGGGTTTCGTGTTTAAGGTAGAGTGTTTAGGGTTTCGGATCTTTCGATCCGGGTGTTGGTGTCTGAGGATTTCGGGGCTGGGGTTAATGCTTTCATTTGCACACGGACAGTCAGCTCGAAAATTCCATGACGACTTCGCCATTCTGAAATTCAGGCATGTGACATGACGCACCTGTGTAAGAAGCACTATGCGAATCCTTTATAAGACGCTATTTGCACCCTTAGTGCAACCCTCATAGGACAGTTATCCTTGTGGTGACTCGTTCCCGTCTAGTAACCCTTCTGGTAACCCTGATTAAATGCCCTAATCCCTAAACCCAAAGCCCTAAGCCCAAAGTCATCGGGCCCTTTGACAGCCCCAGACCAGAAGCCACGTACTTAGACCTAGAGCAGGCTTCTGGCTCTTTGAAGCAGGGGTTCAGGGTTTAAGTTTAAGGCTTAGGGATGGGGCGTCTTTGTGACAACCGGCAACAGTCATGAGGCTGTGCCTGCTTCCCATCTTGAGCCATGCCTGGTACGGTTGGCGGGAAGATGAAACAGGCATCTACGCAGAGGTGCAGGTTGCATCCGCACCGTTCAAGTCGAACTTTGCGCACCTGAAGGACGGCAAGCCAAGGAGAATCTGGATAGAAGTCGGGGCGCACGTCTGGGAGAATCTGCAATATTCGCCGGAGTTCGGCAGATCACAAAATGACTTCCTCATATCTTTCGAGCCCCTGCTTGACAAGTATGCCATGCTGTTGAGTGAGTATAAGGCAGATGTTACTCAACGGCGGCCACTGGGATTTCAACACCAGCGAGGTCTTGTTTTCCCTTTTGCTGTTGGCTGCGACGAGCGCTACACACCTTTCACAGTCACGACGTACGACATGTGCAGCACAGTCTTGGGAATGACAAGTGGCAGTGCTGGCTATTGGCCCGAGGCATGTTCGAACGCAGTTGACAAGCGCATGGTCCCGTGCATTACACTGCGACATGTGATTGAGTCCTGGCTTTCGGGACAAGACGTCTTCTACTTGAAGATAGACGCTCAAGGCTTTGATCTGAATGTTGTGCAATCTGCAGGTCCCATGCTGCGGAAGGTGGAGCACATTGAGCTCGAGGGAGCTTGTGACCGTGTTTCAGGGCTTTATGCTTCAGCCCCCAACTGTTCCACAATTTGGAACCATATGAATCGTGCCGGATACCTGTGCGTTTGGATGCATGATATCCGGTCACCTGAAGTGAAGCAGGCATGTGACCGCAACTTCGGGGGAAACTTATGCCAGTCATGTGACAGAGAGATGAACATGTTTTTCACCCGTCTGCCCTAGCCCTTCGCGGTGAGAAAATAATGCCAGGAGTCTGCATGTGGTTGAGGACTCCAGGAGTAGCAGCTGCACAGCGACAACATCAACAACAGCATCAACAGCAACAGCAGCAACAGCAGCAACAACAGCAACAACAGAAGCAACAGCAGCAGCGACAGCAGCTGCAACAGCGATAGAAACAGCGACAGCGACACTACTACTACTACCACTACCACTACCACTACAACAACAACAACTACAACAACAACTACTACTACTACAACAACAACTACTACTACTACTGCTGCAACTCCTCCGACTACTACTACTACTACTACTACTACTACTACTACTACTACCACTGATCAAGACCACGACGACTACTACTATCTACTACTACGACTGTGACTACGTCTTCGACTACGCCTACCGACTACGACTGTATGACTACGACTGTTGCTACGGCTGCTTTCGGGTCCCGCGCAGTCTCGGATCTTTGGCCCGCACCAAATTCCCACCTCATGCAAAGCCCACCCCGGCAACTCACCCCTCAACATAACATGATCCTGAGCACATGAGTCCAAAGTCCTAGAGCCCACAGCCCGCGCTCTCGAAACGTTGTGTGAGGCTCGAAAATGCTGAGACCTGGCAAAAGACCAGTGTTTCCGTGCGCTAGGTTCTACTGTTGCAGGATTCGATACTGCGTTTTGCACGGGTCTTGTTGGGCTGCAACAAGGGCTGCAACGGTCTGCGTTCTAATTTGCGAATGTAGTGGAACCTGAGTGTAAGGTGCTGCCGAAACCCTGAACCACCAATCCCGTGTTGTCTTGGAGCCCACAGGGTCCGTAAGTTGGATTTGGGAATGACTTTTGGGGCGCAGGTTCGGCTTTTGTCTCCAGCTTAGAGTGATTGAGGTCGCTGCTAGAGGACGCTGAATGAGATATAGAGTTAGGTGCTTGTGGCTTTTGGACTGCAGCTTTTCAAGCCTGCTTGTCCTCCCCAAGCCCAAAACTCTGAACCCTGAGCCCGAAATCAAACCGCAAGAGTTCGATTCTTTTGCTTGCGGAGCTGACTTCTGTTGCCAAAGTGCACAAAGAGTTGACTTTCCGGAGGATGGAAAAGGTGGTCAAAGGTCTTGTGGTTTTCATAAGGATGCGTCTGGATTCGGCTTTTCCAAACCAGACCCTAAACCCCAAACCATCCAAATCCATAGCACATTATAGAAAAGTCTTATTGTATGTAGCGTGTATAAGTATAGGTGTGTGTATATATGCATACATACATTTTTTTGCTGCTCCAACGCCGTGTCTTGTAGTTGACGTACAGTCGATTCACAGTACGGCTTCGGAAACATACATACATACATACATACATATTATATAATAGTGCATTTTAGGGTTTGTTGGAGTTCAGGTCGAGCAGGCTCCGAGGCAGCATTCTGAGGGTCGCGGCTGCGGTCTTGCCTAAACCCTCAAACCCTCAAACCCTCAAATACCCTAAACCCTAAACCTTAAACCTGAAACCCTACACACTAAGCCCCAACCTGAAACCCTACACCCTAGGCCTGAGATATTAAACCCTAAGCCCTCAAAACCCTCTGCGAGACAAGGTCCCATCTTCTGCCTCCTCTTTGGCTCAAGGCGATGGCCCAGTTCAGGCTGCAGCGTTCTACGAATCAACTCGCCGTAGCCACGATAGGCCGAGACCAGCCACCTCACATCATCCACGTAAGGTCATGATCCGAAAGAAGACCCAGAGTCGCATTATAGGAATAGGCTCCCAAGGCCCAAGGTTAAGGTGTAGGGTTAGGGCTTGCGCTCGGGGCTAAGCCTCCAAACTTGGACGCCCGTTCGACCGCGCTGCTGGCGACTCAGAGTCTTGCAGTCCCCGTGCGAATGGTTTAGGGTTCAGGGCCGCTAGTAGAGGGGTCGTACTAATTACCTAGACCATTGTGGGGGATCCTTGTTATGACTATAATATAATATACACCAAAACCATATTAAACCCCCCACAAATTTGCAGTAAAGACCCTGCCGTAAGCGCTGACGCCCACAATAATGCCTGGAGTTTGGGGCTTGTTAGGTTTCCAGGCCGAGATACAGATATTGTTGCAGTTATGTACTTTTCTTTTATTGCTGCTGCTAATACTGCTACTGCTGCTGCTGCTGCTGCTGCTAGTGCTATCCCTCTACCACTACTACTACTACGACGACGACTACTACTACCACCTCTGCCAGCACTAACGTTTCGATTTGAAGTTCGGAGCCGCAGGAGTTGCCATCTTGGGTTTAGGGTCCGGCTATGGGGTTTTCGGGTTCAGGACTTTGACTGTGACTTTGATGATGCAAGGGAGAGGAACCCTAACAACCTCTGCCATCTCCAACCCCCCCAAGTCCTCATATCCTAAACTAAACCGTCTAACGCCTAGCCCCCTAGACCCTAGATCTTGGACCCCACAGACCTACACCTGTCACCGTTGACAGCCCGAAGCCTAGAGGCCTCAGGCTGTTTTCGGCTTTAGGGTTTCATGGTTTAGGGCTTCGGTTAAGGGTTTATGGAGATGCCGGCGCAAGAAGACCCAAGCACTTCGGAGCTCTATGAGCCAAAGTTTGAAAACGCCCTGACGCTGGGAAAAAGCAATTCGACAAGCACTCTAACCCTGAACCCTAAACCCCAAACCCTAAATACCCTGGATTCTAAGCCGCCTAAGCCCCTTGGAACATTAAACGTTGAGGAGTCGACGCTGTGTTAAGCCCTCAACCTGAACCTGAGCCACCCTGAACTCTGAACCCCCATAAGCCCAAATCCCGAGGCTAATGGATAGCTGAAGCACCAAAGCGACCGGATCCCAGCTCGTGTTTGGGGTTGTTAAGCCCTTAGAGCTTCGAGGTTGAATTGGTTTAGGGGTTCCTGGAAAAGGGTTTTGTGCAAGGTCTTTGTCGGGCGTTTGCGGATTTGGGAGAACTCTTTTCTTGAGAAGTGTGCAGTGGCTTGATTTGGGCCCTTGCTGCGTGTGTGAATCCCTACCTCAACAGTCACGGTGTGAAGAGAGCCCGCTGTTTAGGCTTTTAGGGTAACTGAAACTTGAAACCCGAGACCCTACTGCAAAGGTAAAGGAACCCTTATCGAACCCTTGAAGAGAGAGAGCTCCACGACACCTGAGTTTGTCAGCCCTGACAGCTTCAGACTCAAATTACAGGGCTCGGAGTTTTTGAGACCAAGAGATAAGGGTTTGGGCTTCAGTGTCTGGGCAGGACGGCCCCTACACCGAAAACCCGAATACTGAAGTCCGAACAGTTAGGAACAACTTCCCCTTATCATCCTTTCTGCAGGCTGTTCTATGTGTGATTGTTTTAGGTCTACAGATGTGATGAGCTTAACTTGAACTTCTGCAAGGAGGAAGGCATAGAGTTACACAATAGTGCCATAGCATTGACTACAGTTCTTCTATTCAGGGTTCCTTGAAGGGTTCTGTCAGGGTTCCTGTCAGGGATCCTTGAAAGGTTTCCTTTATTGGTTGAAAAGTTTGGGGTTTAGGGCTTATTGTTGCAGGTTAGCCTCAGACCCCCAGTTGAACCAAGTTGCTGCAGGTTCCTCAGCCCCAAACGAAAAGTGTTTGACCACATGGCCGGCGCCTCATGGACAGATGTGTGCTCAGGGGCAACCCTAAACCCTAAACTCAAAACTCTGAAATTTCGGCCTGACGCTTTTTAGCACTCCGACCCTCCAATTAACAAGATGCCAATTGAAAGTGCATCCGTCAAAAAACACGGCACCCCAATCGGCCTGTCTGAAATAGTTTATCATGGACCACGTTCCAGCTAGTATGTGTGCGCTACGCGGGGTTCAGACTCGTAGCCGCTTGCACCACGCTAAACCCTAAACCTTAAACCCTACACCCTTACCCCTAATCCCTGAACCTTTAACCCTTAACCCTAAGCCTTCACTTAAACCCTAGTTACACCCTTAACCCTAAACCCTGAACCCTACAACCAGACCCCGCAGCCAGCGGATAGAGCGAAGCTTCTCTGATGCTTCTATTGTTTCGGCTTTGGGGATTCAGACACTTAGGATTCAGGGCTTGGATTTTGGAGGTTTGTTCCGATGCTTCCGCGTGCCAAGTAGGCAGCTTTGCCTTTGAGCGAAAATCTCTATCGTGATCCGCTGCAGGGGCGCTTAAAGTCAGGGTGCCTGTTAATCACCGATTGAAGCAGGAGGTTCCTGTTAGGAGGGATCCTCTACCCGAAGCCCTAGAACAGGGTTACCACCAAGTTCGGATCCTAAGCTAAAGCCTAAACCCTAAACCTGAAGCCCTAAACCCTAAGTCCTGAACCCTCAGCCCGAAACCCAAAGCCCTAAGCCGTAAACCCTAAACCCTAAACCCCTTAAACCCAAAGCCTAAGCCCTGAGACCCAAGCATGCAAAGCCCTGAGGAGCCCCACCGAGCCCTGGGGTCGTTTAGCCTCCTCTTCTAGGACCTAGAGTAGGCCCTTATTCCCTTTTTTGGGGTTCAGGTTCCCTTATAAGCCCTTTTAAACCAAAAAGGGCACCCTTTTTATTCCTAGGTTACTCTTGGGTCTAGTCTTTGAGAAGTTTGAAGGTCATGTGGGTGGTTGTCAAAGTTAGGGTCCCTCTTTGAGTCCCTATTGTAGTACGGCACCTATTCTTTTGGGGTACCCGAAAAGAGCCCTAATTTTGACAACCACCCATGTAAAGATCCTAAACCCTGACACCCTAAACCCCAAGTGAAGTTTTCTTCGTGTTGCAGAATCTACTAGAAGCCTGAGTGAGTAGTAATGCTACTCCCCTATTGTCCCTATATGACTAACCTTAAACTCTAAACCCTAAACCTTGACCTATATGCCCCCAAAAGACCCGTTTCAAGCCCGTATGTGATGGCTCTGGATCCGGCGAGAGTTCCACCACCCCCTAGACAGCGTCTCTGCTCCCTCATCCGCAGAACCCCTGGCGCTGCACCCTAAACCTTAAGCCTCAAAACTTGAACCTGACACCCCAAACCCGAAACCTTGAACCCTAAACCCTACATCCTAAACCCTGACTCCCAAAAGCCACAAAACTCGCAGTTCGGAGGCACCTCAGTTCGGGAACAATGGGCAGCTGTCGCGCGATGAACGCGTGCAGCTGTACGGAATCGACTGCGAGGACCAGGCCGGGGACTTGAAAGCTTAGGGTTTTTACGGGTTTAAGGACTTGAAAGGGAGCTGTAAAAGTTCTAAGGGTTGTAGCATTCTTTCAAAAAGGTTCAGGTTTGGGATCAGGGTTTCAGGGTTTAGGTCAGGGTTTGGGGTAAAGCGTTGGCCCTAAGCTCAAACCCCCGTAGCATTTGGCGTGGGGTCAGTGGCGTCTTTTCTCAGACCGGTGTTGCCTTCAGGATGTCCGGGTAGGGCGCGCTTTTATCCCTTCCCGGGTCGTGTTTACAAACTTGCAAGCTTCTTCAACAGGTCTCGATATGCGAAAGCCGACGCCGGGAGGGTATCACCCATGTGTGACGATGTTGAAGGCTTTATGGTTCAGGCAGAAGTTAAAAAGCTTCGGGGTTAAGAATCATAGAGTTGATAGAGGACTGAACTTAACCACCTAAACCCTAAACCCTAAACCCCTGAAGCACTGGATCCCCGGACTTTTGCACAATGTCGCAAAGCATCCCTTGGCAGCCGGCGCGACAGTCGGCCCTGCAAAAGTTGCCTTCAGCACAGCCCTGAAGCCTTAACCCTCGACCCTAAACCCTTATCGCCCAAAACCCTAAAACCCCAAACCCCCAAAACCCTAAAATCCTCAATCCTGGACCGTAAGTCCTAAAGCCTACTGTAAAGCTTGATCACAATAGTTGCCATCCTCCACCCTGGCGGCAGAAGGCCGTTGAGATCGCAAGAACCATCCGCCTAACGACCAACTACAGGACCAGCCTACGTGAATTGAATAGAGCCTTGAAGTCTTGTCTGAGATAGTAAGCAGCAATCAAGCAAGTAAGTAGAGACGTCATGTATCCAAGGCATGTAGTACAGTTGTGCTGAACAATCCTTTGGTGATGGGGAGCACGAACAATAAACCTGATATTAATAGTGAGAGCAAGACTAAGAGTATGGCAAGAGTATTGTGGGCAGAGTGGGATCGAATGGAAAGCCCAAGACGCTGCGACAAGTTTGAGGTTCGTTGATGGCGTAGGGCTTAAGGGTTGCTCGAGGTGTAGGGTCGGTATCCTTTTGGATGTCGGGCTTGTTTAGGGGGCTACGGTTCGTCCAGGCCCTAGCCCTACTCCCTAAACACCACAATCCCCAAGCCTAGGCTAGGCCCAAGCCTTAAATCCTGAAGTCTTGCCAAACCTTCAACCCTTGCCAAATCCTAGACGTAATGAAGCACCAAACCTGATGGAGGGTTTAGGGTTTTAGCGTTTTGGGGGTTTGGGATTTACGGCTTTGGGGTCTAGGTTGTGGGGTCTAGGGTTAAGGCTTGGGGGTTCGGGTTTCAGGTGCCCCACCGAAGCCGCAGGTGATGTGGCATGAGTGGACGCCTGGTGTGGAAAGCGTGCAAGATCTGGTGCTGCAAAATGTGGCGCTGGTGACCCAGAAGGCGGAATCTGGGAAATGGGTTGGGTACGGCCCCCACTCAGTAATAGTTGAATAATACTCATAGTATAGGTATATTAAGTAGGACCTTTATCGCAGCCCTATTATAGACTCTTACTGTATGGGGACAGTACCTAAGAAATGGGTGTTTCAGAGAGCAACCCTAAGGGTTCACCCGAATAGTGTATACTTTGGTCTTAAAGTAGTCCCTATATGGGAGTTTCCGAAAACAGGGGACCCTAATATAGTACCCTAAATAGTAGGATCCTTGTTGTAAGGGCCCCAAAATAAGGTACCCCTAATTTTCGGAAACTCCCATATAGGTACTTCGGGGCGAAAGTATATCTTACTTGGGTACATGGACCCCAAGGGCAGTCGACTTTACCATAAGCCCTCTTCAGTATGATCCTTGTTGTCAAGATCCATCATCGAGGCGAACCTACTTTTAAGAAGCGAAAAGTCGAGGGTTTCGGGAGGGGGGGTGGGGGCGAGGGCGAAGGTCTCATTTCCGAAGAGCTGAGCTCGAAACCCTAAACCGAGAAGCCGTTATTGTAGTAATGTTAGTGATCTTGACCAAGGCTTCGGGGTTGCGATTGCGCTTGGGGTTTCACCGAATGAAGTAATACTGCTACCGACCCTCAATGCGCTCACAACGAGGAAGGAGACGATGAAGGGTCGAATTGAGAACCTTCCCGTCAACTGGACGTATCTGAACGACGTCATGGATGCAAAGATCGGGAAAGGCAAAACAAGGCAAGGAGTTCAGCGTCTTCGTCTCCTATGCTGATTGCGCGGAGTCGAAGGAAGTCATGGTCAACTCGCCGATGTCCATTGCTACTTTTCGCGATGATTGTTGCAGGGCTTTCCCCCAAATCAACAAGGGCGTAACAGAGAGGTCGCTTATTTATAGTACCCCGTAGTTTAGCAGTTCCTGTATGAATATGGCGGTTCTAGGTACTATGTCCTAACACCCTATTCTACTGATTGAGGCCTCGATATCCCAGAGACTCCCAAACCCCTTAATTAAGGAATATGCCTTTAATTATAGAAGGATCCCTAATATGACTTAAGATATATTCCTTCATTAAAGGGTTTTGGAGTCCTTAAACTTAAAACCTTATAGACCCCTTTAAAGAAACCCTAGGTATTCCTGAGTCTCTGAGATCAAGGAACATAGGCTCTCAGGATTTACTCAGGTGTCGGGTCCCGCGTCGTAGGATTCGATCGTACCCGAGGCCCAAAACAGGCTCCATGCTGTGGGTTTAGGGGTTTACTGTAGACTATTATAGTCTATAGTAAGTATTATAGGGGCCGTGTTCCTCACTACAAATAGTATAGTGGGCCCCAAAATCCTGTTCTAATTAATAAGCCCCCTATATTAGGGGTTTGCGGCAAGGTTTGGGGTAAAGGGGAGTTCCTTGGAATGGTAGGTTTTTGGGGGCTACAGGAGATCATGGGACACTATTGGGAAGACAGAAGTTCAGGATCGGAGAGAAAGTTAGAGGTAGAGGGAGGGATCCAACATTCAAGATCATGACAGCTTCAAAACGGTTGAGGTTTGAAGATAACTCACAACCAGAAGTAACGGCTTTAGGGTTTTGGGTTTAGGGTAACAAATCATTGTGAACCTAGAACCCCAAACCCAGGCGTTGCAACCTCGAAACATCAACGAATGTGCATGGGTGTGCACGCATTTCAAGCAACATCTAGCGCGTGCTATAGCAGCATACTACATCACATCACTTGCAGGGTCTCATACCTTACGCCATATACCACGTACTGTTTAAGGCAAGCATACAAAGGTCCTAAGCTTTACACAATCAATGTTAAATCCATGGTGAAGATGGATGCCAAGCTCCTGGGTACGCTGGCAAGTTCCCTGTAGGCCCGGAGGCTCTTCTGTAGACCAAAGCTAGTGCAGATTCTTACTATAAAGTTACTATCACGAAACTTTAAGATAGACCGAAACGACTGTCGGATAGTAGTCATTACAGGGAGCCCGATTATAGACTTTGTCCAGTGTACGGTTTGAGTATGAGGAACCCTAGCTTCTGAGTAACTTCCATACTTCTACATCTTCAAGCTGCAGACTGTATCAATGAAGGTTTTTTTGGTGCAGCACTGAGCTGTGAGTTTGGGGTTCAGGATTACCCTGAGCCTCAAGCCCTGAGACCAATATGAGTCAGAACTGGTCCTGGGGTTTGCGCCGTTTTTGGGTTCTTCTTGAAAGCATGCCCCGGCAGGTGAAGTTCAAGTTGCCACCGACGAAGGAGTTCGACATGCCTTATCCGGAGCCCTTCAAGCTTGCGCTGCGGCCCCAGAGGGCTACAAAACCTCAAGCCCTACTTCCGCGTTATAGAATGTTGAAGAGACAAAAACATGCAGTGCAAAAACCACGAATCCCCAAAGCACCTTTGGGCTATCGTGTCGGAGGCCAGTCCCTTTGAAAGGTTTGGGGTTTGAGGGTTCAGGGTTTAGGGTGTAGGGTTTAGGGTTTAGGACTGGGTTTAGGGTGTAGATTTTAGGGTTTAGGGTTCAGCAGTTAAGAGCTCAACGTGCTTTGTACGAACCCAAACAGTTCAGCCGCCGTGCTTGGGATGGTTCAGCAGTCCGCGCATGACATCCCGTTACCTTTGAGAACTTCAACATCCAGGGCCCTCCACTCTAAACCCTAGGATGCTACACCCTAAAACCCCACAGCCCGAACACATATAGACGAAACTCGCAGAACCAGACCCTGAAACCCCGAACTCTCGAAAGCCCAGGACTCTGAATCTAAGCTGCTGGAATTTCTCCGCTGCAAGCTGTCCGTCGTCCACGTTTGGTCTGTCAGCATTCGGCCTTCGATGAGGCTCATGATGCTGATGCTGATGATGCTGATGACGATGATGAGGAGGATGATCGGTGGTCCATGGTCGATGATGAATGATCGATGGTAGTCACTGCCCCATGAACAAGGGTCACTGATGATGATTATGGCCCTGATGGTGGTGATGAAGACTATCATCATGATGACGGCTTTTACCTGCCTTTCCTGCTCGCGTGCCTTGGTGAGGCCTGGCATGAAGAAAGTTATTCCGATCAGCTTCCGGCCCTCGAAGTATGTGCCGTCGGCTATGCCTGTTTCGCACACAGCACGGGGGTTTTAAGCGAAGCCTAAATTTTAAATCCTAGGTGTGCAGGCCTTACGCCCTAAGCCCGTAGAAATAAACCTTAGGACCAAACAAGCCCTCAACCCTGAGCCCTCAACTCCAAACTTTAACCTTAAACTCTAGGCGCTTGGGGCTCGGTTCAGGTTTAAGTTGAAGCCGGATTGGGAGGGCTTCGGAGCTCAGGGAGTAGGGTTTTTGGGGTGTTACTGTTCTTCCTGAGCCCCGAGGCATTTTGGGGATTCGGTGCGGGTAATCGGCTTGCAAAGGCATGGTTGCTCTTGCAACGACTGCTGCAACCATATGCAAGATAATCTCAGCTACGGCAGTACTACCCTTCTGCATTCATTACGGTTCAGGGTTTATTGTTCAGGCCGCCTCTAGGAAATTTGCGCCTCGCTGCGATTTGTTATGTTTGGGGATGGGTTCCCAAAAGTCCCCAGTACGTGTGCTTCAGCTTTGTTTTGGACACTCCAATTCCCAATTCCCCCCTCCAGTTTGGCTCTTGAACCCCAGTGGCTCTTGGCATGTGAAGGATGGTGTGGTCCATGCTCCGTGCTGTCATGCGGTTAAGGTACCCGCAACAAAAGGGCTGCGTGGTGATATGCATCGGCTCCTTATGTGGGAGGCTACAAGTTCCGAGGAAGGAGTTCGGGAGATGAGATAGCCAATCCCAAGCAACGAAGGTCCGAAATTGAGGCGCTACACTAGCTCTCCCCAATGCCTTCTTTTGTTTGTTTCCTCTGTATCTTTATTCATCTGTGTGTGTATTATATATACATATATATATATATATATCCTAGAGGCCCTCAGAGCTCGATCCGTAGTGAAGACAAGACGACAGCTCTTCGGCACCGTGGCAGGCACGTGGATCGGGTGCAGATAGTGACCAAAGGAGGCAGCTTCTTCGTGACCGTCAAGGCCCCGAGTGCCTGCCGCATTTCCCCGTTATCCAAAGCCCGAGGTTCGGGGGTGCAATGTCAAGGCAGTAGGGTTTAGGGTTTAGGGTTTAGGGTTTAGGGTTTAGGGGTTTAGGCAGTTCCCAACCAAATAAACAAGCAAGCTAGCAAATAAGCACACACGCATACAGAGGCACAAGCACAGACGAACAGATGCATAACCAATCCAAAAGCATGCAAACACAAATGCGTAAGCGAGCGTGCGAGTATTTCAGCATGTCGGCATTTGCAACGTGTAGGCGCGCGAACATCACCGCATATCCATGCAGAGTACCAAGCATACGTACACACAGACACGCTCTCCACCACCCTTTTCAGCGTAGGTCTCAATGACGTGAGTTTAAACTGTCTGTGCGGAAGGCCGTGGTCAAGGATGTCGCTCTGTCTGTGCCACACTTTTTGGACTTTGGCCTCTGTCCCACCATGGAGCGTCGGCCCCTCAGCGGGCCTGGCGTTCTCTCTGCAGTGGTGCCGAGTTGCAGCCGTTGTTCTGGCAGGCAGCGGGCTACCTTCCTCGATAGCTCATAAATTACATGTCTCTTATCCTGCTCCGAACCTACAGTCTCTACAGCCCCATCCCCCTGCCCAACAAAGCCGTCAGCCTGAGGCTCGCAGCAGCAGATTGAGGTGTACAACACCGGCACCCTCAAGGCGTCCATGAAGTGGCACGCGAGGCCAGACGGTTGATGATATAAATCCTGCATTACCTTAAGACCCTAAGGTATGGGAATTATGGTATATTCCTCATTATGGCTAATGCAGGATTTATATCATCAACAGTAGCACACCTTGGCTGCAACTAGATGCGGTTGGGAATCTCTCGACTCCGCGGCCCTACGCCCGTTGAGTGTTTATGCCTTAGGGGTTCGTGGGTTTATGGTCCTCAAAGGGGAAGAGGAGGAACCCTTAATGGGGACTCCTACCCTATAATGGGCTATATAATGGGTATATAATGGCTATATTAAGGGTATGTACCTAGGGGTCCTTATTAAGGGTCCCTCCTTTTGCCCTTGGAGGTCCATTGTTGTTTTGGCAAGGTGTTTCAGGTTGATGGCGGTATCCAACTCGAACTCAGGGCTGTTATGGGACTGAATAATTACGGCTGTAAAGGTTTAAGGTCGAGTGATTAAGGCTGAGGGTGCGTTGCCTGGTGAAGGTCAGATGTCTTTGCTTCTTCTGGGTCTAGGTCTTGCCACATTGGGGTAGAGAGCGGCTGAAGAAACTCCAGGAAAACCCGGTCCGTCCTCGTTTTGCGCAGTTTTCTCAGAAGTCTTCAACACTGTCAGCTCAGATCGATAAACCCTGAACCTCAAACCTAAACCCTAAATCGTAAACCCTAAGCCCTTAACCCTACTTGGAGGATCATGGGACTCAGCAAGCAAGGCTATAAGTACCTTCATTGGGGTTATAAGTAATTATAAGTATAGTTACCTTATCTATAACCCCAATTACTAAGTCCCACGATCCTCCAAGCAGGCCTCCAGCCTCAATCCTCAAACCTTCGAGGCCCTAAACGCTCAGAGCCTCACACGGAAGTCCAAAACTACGTCAAGCTCTGAACCTGAGCCCTAAACTCCTAAGCCAACCCTCGACCCCAAAGAGACTACAACCCAACCAGGACCCTCCTTGTACCCTCAAACAGGGGTATATGGTCCCAAATAAGGGGCATTTAGGGTCTAATAGCGGGTAGACGGAGGGTCTAGGAAGATAGCTCTGAACCGCAGCCGCAACAATGCAACAGCCTGTAACGCCGCAGTCAAAAGCCCTCAAACCCTAAACCCTAAACCCCTCATGCACCCTCTAACACCTAGAAGGCCTAAACCCGCAGCCCTAAGGATTCAATCCTACTTGGAGGATCATGGGACTTAGTAAGTAAGGTTATACGTACCCTAATTGGAGTTATAGGTATAGTTACCTTATTTATAACCCTAGTTACTAAGTCGCATGATCCTCCAAGTACTGGAAGCCTTCGGAACGTAAACCCTCAAAGGCTAAACCCTTTCAAGAAACTCTTAAGCCGTAAACTCTATGCCCCAACTGACAGTAACCCGGTAACCCGTCAAGGACCGCCTACAGGAGCCCTTAAAGGAACCTCTGGTTAGTAGGGAATGGAAGAATGGTCGTAATAGCAGTTATAGTTGTACCCCATTCCTCCATTCCCTACTAAGCAAAGGTCAGTAAAGGAACCAAGCCCTCAGCCCTAAACCCTAAATTCCCACCCGGCCCCTGGGGCCCGAAACCCTACGCCGCGGTCCAGGCCTCCCTTTACCGTGCGGTGCCCGGCCGCGGCCGTGGAGGTCGGCCAGTCGGCCCGGGTCCTCAGAGCGGATGTTGTTCTTTTAGGGTTTTGTTTGGGGTTCCTAGGGTTTTTAGTTTCAGGGTTTTAGGTGTTTCAGGGGATTTTGTGGGGGGTCTCCAAGGATCTTTTTAGTTTTAGGGTTTTAAGGGTTTCAGGGGTTTTAGGGTTTCGGGGGTTTTTAGGGTTTCTAGGGTTTTTGGTTTTAGGGTTTTAGGTGTTCCCGGGTTTTAGGGTTTCTAGGGCTGCTAGGGTTTTTAGGGTTTTCAGGGTTTTTTGGGTTTACGGTGAAGGGTTTAGGGGTTTAGGGTCTTAGGTCTTAGGGTGAGTTCAGTGGGGGAGTTTGTCAGGTTTTTCCGTAGTCTTGTTTATGCAGAGTCTTCGAGGGTCAGGGTTTGGTGTTCAGGGTTGGGGCAGTTTAGGTTAATTAGTAAGAAGTTGGCACGGTTTTAGGGTTTGGGGTTGGGGAGTTCAAGGTTATGAGATTCACGGTACAGGGTTTAGATGTTTGAGGTTCCGGGGGCCGAGGTTACGGGGTTTAAAGTATAGGGTTTCGGGGCTTGGTGTTTCAGGGTGCAGGATCATAGGATTTTGGGTCCAGCGTTTAGGGGTTCTATGGTCTTGTGTTTTTGTTGTTTGTTGCCTGGAAAGACAGCTCGGGAGCAAGCCCCCAATATCCTCCGTGGTGCCCGAACCCGTAAGCATAGTGATGACTGAGAATCGGTATTTCCAGTAGCAGCATTAAGAGCATAATGGCCACGGTAGTCGCGAGCACGGTCGTAATGACCATAGTGGCAACATCAGTAACAAGAATATCATCGAGTATCACACATGTGCGAAGCAGTACCCTGGGCCCTGAATCACTGAAGCCCCGAACCTTAAGACCCGGAAGCATGAAATCCAAGCACCCTCAACTTTGAACCCTCAAGCTCAACTAAAACGCATAGCAGAACTCTAACAGAAGCCTTCCAAAATCTGCTGAAACACTATAGCATCCCCTTAGACCAACCCCATAGAGCATTTCACGACCTTCATCCCTCAACCCTAAACTCCAAACTCCCTAAACCCTAAACTCCCTAAACCCTGAACCCGAAACCCTAATCCCTGAACCCTAAACCGCTGCCTTTAGGTGCGATGCACCATCGAGTTTGAGCCGAAAACAGCATCGGTCTTTGACGGCCTCATCGCTTGCGAGGCCTTTGTGGTTTAGAGGTTTGGGCTTAGTTTTTTTTAGGGTTTAGCCGCTTTGGGCCTGACAGGTTGTTGAGGGCTTATATCCGGTCTATATGCGGTTTGGGGTTGAGAAAGGGTCTCGAGACTTTTGAGGGATTCGGATAGGCTTTGATTAGAGAGTTTAGGGTTGCGGTTTTCGTACGGTGCCCGATAGATATGGGGCCCCAGCAATTGGAATCGGGTTCCGTTTACGGCTCTAGGGTTCTGTGAGGGCTGTACATGGGTGCCCCGATAAGTTAAGATTCAAAGTTAAACCGGGTTTCAGTACAGTGGCAGAGGCCTGGCCAAAACGTCTCAGACAAAGTCTCTGCATGTTCTTTTTGAGGGGGGGGGGGTTTGGCGTTCAGGGTTTTTGGTTTCGGCTTTTCAGGTTTATAGGGTTTAGAGTTTACCCTGGGGATCTAAGGACTCATATATTAAGGCTTTTGGGCCCAAAGACCATACTACAGAAGGCTTTTGGGATATTTTGATCCCAGAGTTTGAAGTTTCGGGCCTTAGAGGTTGGCGGGTTTCGCGGGAGGGTTTTTGGGGTTTGGGAATTCAAGGGTTTGAGGGATGTGGGATGTTGGGATGCAAGTGGCAGGAATGTTTCTTGAATGGCGCAGTATTATATAGTTGGCATGCAGTGCACCCCAAACTCTGCTCCAAATACTCACGACGGCGAGTGAGAGATCCGGATTGGGTTTCTGCTTGGTGCGAAGGGTTGACGATGGTTGGCCTCTGCATATTTCGGGACCCTACACTCGGACCCTTGAACCCTAAGCCCCAAACCTCGAACCTAACCAAGTACTGTCTCGTTTGAACTCTATACCCCGAGCCCGATCGAGTTGCAAAGGGCTCGTGTGAGCCCCACAGGTGCTGGCGCACGCCCCAGACCCCAATCATGTACTCGTAGACCCAATTCAGGGCTCGTCTTTATGTGCTGAACCCGAGAAGCAAAATCATAGGGTCCTTATGAAGACATGTGGGCAGTTGTCAAAATTGTGGTCCCTTTTTTGGGTACCCTAAATATTCGGTGCCGTACTATATTAAGGACCCAAAGAAGGACCATAATTTTGACGACCACCCATGTATTCAGTTATAGGGCTTTCTCAATCCGGTTTCTACAATAGCTTACACTTTGCCAGGTCTCCCGGCAAACGCAAACTCCGAAGACCCCGAACCCAAAACCTGATTCCCTCAATTCTGAAGCCTGAAAGGAGGGTTCAGGGGTTTGGGGTTTAAGGTTTCCCAGACCCTGCATTCCCAAGCCCTCGGGCCTAAGCCCCAGAACTTGCAGCCTTGAGCTCTCTACTATGCTCCACTATAGGGGCCTTCATAATGACCTATGCTATTCTGGTGGTTCCTTATTATGAGCATGATATCATGGGCCCCAAAACCCTGTTCTAATTATTAAGGCCCCTATACTGTATCCTTATAATAGCCCTGCTAGTGGCCCTTGTAGACGCCTTTAAAGGAACCCTATTAGAATTATTAAGGCCACTATGTTACGCCCCCCAACCCCCCACCCCCATACAAAATCTGGGAGGTGGCCTCAGGAGGAGCATCCATAGCTGTGGAGGAGGACGACGAGAGCAGCGCGCGCTCACCCGAGGCACCTGTAGGGGGAGTCGGCGCTGAGAGCCCCTAAGCCATCCCGGACACTTGAAATCCTACAATGGGCTAAGCTCTAAACCCTAAACCCCAAACTCTAAACCCTAAACCCCAAACTCTAGACCCCAAACTCTAAACCCCAAACTCTAAACCCTAAACTCTAAACCCTAAACCCTAAACCTCACTGACCTGGAGCCCTGGGCTCAGGGCTTAGTTTGGGATTGAGGTTCCTGGGTTTAGTTTGGAGTCTAGGATTAGGGTTTAGGGTATAGGCGTTCAAATTTTAGCTTGGGATTCTGTGTAACAGCTCCTGTCCAGGTGAAGCAGTATGCCCTGCAGTGCACCGGCGTCGGAAAGATGTGCGGGCCTCGTAATTTGAAATGGGTTATTTCTTCGTAGGAACTAAGGCAAAGTTCCTTGCTGAAGGGATCTTGGAGTCTCCGGGTCCCCAGGCCCCACCTCTGCGTGCCGGGTGGCCTGAGCCCTCTCGTCGAGTCGGGAGCCGAGATGCAGGTTCAAGGGCCTCAGGGTTTCGTTTTGTTACTTACAGTTCTAAACTTGCATGCATACATACTTACCTACCTACATATTTACATCGACACAAATGTGCACATGCATGCACATGTGTATATGTATGTGTGTATGTGTGTATGTATGTATGTACGTATGTATGTACAATGCATAACAACCTAGCAATACATAAGACAGCATACTGCATCAGTATGTTGCGTTATGCTGCATGGTTTCGCATCGCCTTACCTTACACTCCAATCCATTACAATACATTACACGTTCTAACCCATTCCATTCCATATGTACAGACGTACATACATAATATGCATTACAACATCAAAATTCCAGAGTTTCGGGGGCATCTGCGTCTCGGGCTTTCTGAAGGACTAGTGGTGTTGGAGTCCTGGTGTTAGTGCTGGCGCCTGGAGGGCCTAGGCTTTACGTGGGCTTTGGGGTGAGGCGTTTGGGTTGGGGGGGAAGGATTTGAGAGGTTTGTGGTCGAGAGACTTAGCCCAGACCCCCCGGGAGGATCTAGAAAGTAGATCCCCTATTGGGGTTTTTGGAGCAGGAAGACTACAGTAGGTTGCGTAAGAAAGGTTACTATATGGATATTGCAAGGGTTCCTTTACAGGGTTCAGGGATGGAAGTTTCAGGGCTTGAGGAAATGGGGGTTTTCGGTGTGGGGGTTCGCAACCGTTGTGGGTTTCGGGCGTAATTTTGCTCAGAGTTCTGTGCAGGGTGCTTGAAGCTGTAATTACGGTGAGCCGTGGTAGTAGTGTAAGCCTAGGCTTTCTTGCCCCCTTCTAGCTAGAGGTGTCGGGTCCAAGTTTTGCGGACATTCATCATGCACCAGAGCTCTGCTGTTCGCGATGCGGACGTTCGGCTCAGACTTGGTTTGCTTTGCAATGTAGTTGCTGTGTCTCTCTCTATCGCAGTTAGAGACCGTCATGTCCGGCTTCATAAGAAACGCGTGACCTGGCAGCACCTTAGTCAAAACCTTAAGCCCTAAACCTTAAACCCTAAATAAACCCTTAAAGCCCAAAAAAAACACCGAAACCCCAAACCCTAAACCTCAACACCCCAATTCCTAAGCCCTAAACCGCAACACCCCAATTCCTAAGCCCGGAAGCCTTAAATGGTGGAGGTTTCGGAGGGCCTCTGCTCCGAAACCTTCAGCCTTAGCCTTGGAAGCCTTAAAGAAGCCTTCCCCCAAGGGTCCAAAGGACCCAAGAATTAGGGTTCCTTTAAAGGGTTCTAAAATGTTCCTTTAAAAGGGCTACTATTAGGGCTACTATAAGGTTTCTGTTATATGGGCCTTAACAATTAGGTATTCGATTTTAGGATAGTAGTTATGTAGGTTAGGATTTTGGAGAGGATATGATTATTGGGTACTTGGACCCCTGGGGTTCTGGATGCCCAGCTCCGTTTCAGACTTCCGAAGTTTAGAAGGGTCCCCGAAAGCGCGCAAGCCGTGGGTGGACCCTCTGGAGCTTCTTGCAAGCCTCGTTGTCCTGCCTGACTTGAATCCTAATGACCCTAAATCCGAACCCTTGGCAACAAAGGGAGTGCAAAAGCCTTTGAACCTGACAAGTCCGAAGCTGTGAACACAGAAACGTCGAAGCCAGACCCTTCTGTGTGGTTCCCCAAAACCCTAACGCTGATTGCTCTCAACATCCCTTACCTAAGCCTTCTCAAACCCCAGTTCGAAGCCTTGCACATCTTACAACACCCTACAGTAGCCGATGAAAGCCTTGTAACATGACTTTCAGACGATACAAACCCTGAAGCAGTCTCCCAAAGCCCGGAGTCTTATCCTGGGCAGACATCTCTGAACCCTTCTTCTAGATTGTTTAGGGTTCGGGGCTCAGGGACGGAAAAGGAGCCCTGGGGAAGCACACATCTCGTAAAACTTAAACTTAAACCCAGCAAATCCTGAGCCCTACACCCTATATGCCCGAGATCCATCTCTCTTGGACAACCCGAGAACAACCTTTAGAATCCTACGAAGTTTCCCTAGAGCTACAGGTTTGAAAGCCTTCTGCCGAAGCCCTAGAGACCATCACATCCTGCTGCTAAGTTGCCTGCAGAGGAAAGCATGTAAAACCTAGAGCAAGCTACAGAGTTGCCCCACACTGGCTCTAAACCTTAAACCCCTAAGCCCAAAACCCCTAAGCTCAAAACCCTTAAGCAACCGAAACCCCAAACCGTAAATCCCAAACCCTGAACGTGAAGCCCTATAAACCCTAAGCACAGCCCATGGGCTCGAACTCTTTTGGAAAAGGGGCTGTTGCACTTTTATAAACCCTCAACCCTAAACCCTAAACCCTAAACCCAAAATCCTAAACACAGCCCGCGGAGGCTGTGCTTCGCACTGCTCACCTCCTTGTCCGCGGCGCGGCGCATCCGCGCAAACTCCGCAGGGCGCAGCCTTCTCCTTGAGGCTCCCTTTCGGTGGGTTTAGGGTTTAGGGTTTAGGGTTTAGGGTTGGTCTTCATGGAGGCGATGGACCCAGACCTTCCAAAATTCCTTAATTAAGGAATGTACCTTAAATTATGATAGCGGTGGACTCTTGAATTATACTTATTGGCTGTAAACTCAACTTTTCAACTTTTGTGGTTCTTCTAAGGTAGTCGATTCTGAAAGTTTCTTTGAGTTTTGGGCCAGTGAGATTATGAATTATGAGGTTCATAGGATTCGTTGTGCTTGTACGGGATTTGCGCGGTTCTCTTGGGGCTCCGCAAAAAATGAGGCAAGAAAGATTCAAACCCTGCTAGTCAAGCCTTCGTATACTATGTGGTTGACATAGAACATTGCAAGTAAGCCGACTCCCAAAACCCTAAACCCTCAAACACCCAAGCCCTGAGTCCCCAAATCTTCAACCTTAAACGCTTAAATCCGCCGAAGCCCAAAACCCAAAGCCCCAGGTGGACCGTACACCCTAAACCTTAAGGCCCTAAACCCCAAACGCCTATAGATCTCTTATAGAACCCTTTAAGGAACCCCTTAATGACCCAAAGCCCCAGGTGGAGGACCAGTTGGGCTCCGAGGTGCGCCAGGCTTTGAGCCAGCGCGCCCCAGAGCTCGAGGAGGGGATCTCTGAAACCGCAGTGCTGATGTGGGTTCCTTTAAGGGTTCCTTTCAGGGCTCTATAAGGGATCTATCGTAGGGTTCTATAGTATAACGGAGTTTCCGCAAATTAGGGGGTTTCTTTCAGCGTTCCTTTAAGGGTTCCTTTCCACTATTTGGGGTACTATATTTGGGTCCCCTATTTTCGGAAACTCCCTTTGTGAACCCTTTCTTTAGGGGTAAGGAAGTATATACTATGGGGATACTCAAACATGAACACTAGACCCTACTTGAGGATCAGGGGACTTAGGAAGCAAAGCTACAAGTACCGGAATTATTTCAAGGTATAGTTACCTTATGAAAAACCTGGCTACTAAGTCCCATGAACCTCCACGAGTGGTTTAGGGGACTGTCACCAGATACTTTTACTTACAGTTGTTCTAGACAGCTGTAGCTGTTCTTCTAGTTAGAACTCATTGTCGTCGTTAAACAGGAGAATTTGTTCAATGCTTTTGTGGACGATTCAACAGAGGTTGTGCTGGTTTGGGGGTTATTCGATCCGGGCCATTTGATGTAGTTGGGGCAAACCCCTAAACCCTAAAGCCCTGAAGCCCAAAACCCCCAAAGCCCTCAACCCCTAAACCCCTAAAGCCCTAAAGCTCTAAAGCCCTGAAGCCCTAAACCCCTGAAGCCCTAAACCCCTCACCTCCTTAACTCCTAAAACCGTAAAACCCTGAAGCCCTAAGCACTTCAAACTGAAAACGCTAAAGCCCTCAACCCCTCAAGCCTATAGCACTTTTAGGGTTCCTTTTACATTGGTTTTGAGCTTGGGGGTCTAGGGTCGTTGCAGCAGCCCTAAACCCTAAACTCTAAGCCCTACACCCTAAGCCCGAAACCCTAAACCCTGAGCCTAGAACCTGTGTGGGAATAGAACGAGGCACTCAAAAACAACTTAAAAAACCGCACGCCCTAATTGTTGAAACTGTCAAAGGCCTTGAAGCTTTCAAAGCCCAACGTCTGGAGTCGCGAGGAACATCTTCGTCACACGTTCCTGTCCCTTCCACAGAACAGCCGCGGGGCGGTTGGGCCAGGTGGAGCTCGCTCCTTGGCCTCAAGGTCTAGGGCCTTTTGGGGTTTCAGGGTTTAGGGCTTTCTTTTCGGGCTTTCGGGGTTTCAGGGTGTCAGGGTTTACTTAGGGTTTTAGGGTTTAGGGATTTAAGGCCGTCAGGGCTTTAGGGTTTTTTGGCTTTCGGTTTAGTTTTATTTCTTTTTTTTCGGGCCTTGGGGCTTTAGGGTTTTAAGATTTCTGGTTTTAGGTTTCGGGTGGAGCTCAGGGTTTAGGGTTGAGGGTGCAAGGTCGATCTTCGGCCTGGAATTGGAGGGACCTGCTGTCTTTCTCCTAGGTGCGTGTTTGGATATCAGGCCTTATAACGTTTTTTCTAAGGTTCTATAGCCTTCAAAACCCAAAACCCTACACCCTGGACCCTAGGGTTGAGTGTATATAGATTGGGCTAAGTTTAGAGTTGAGGGTTCGGAGGTTCAGGTTTGTGGTTTACAGCTTAGGGCTCGCGGTCAGCTTCAGCGTATGGGATTTAGGGTTTGAGGGTTTAGGGTTTGGAGCTTCGGGTTTAGAGTGGAGGTCTACGCAGATTGAGTTTAGCTCTCTCATACCAGGCGTCCCTCCCTTTCGGATCTTTACTGAATGCTTCTTTTTTGGAACTACCATGTAGTGTAGAACAAACTCTGGAATCGGAGTGTAGGGCAGGGAGTTCAGGATTCTGAAGTTCGGGGGGGGGCGGGGAGATTTTGGGGAAGCTTCGCAGTGCTCGGGGGTGGAAGATTGCGACGAGTGGATGGGGATGTCTGACAACCACTGAAGCGCAGAGTCAACTTGTGTTGGGGGCATTGCTCCAGGGAGCATTGGATGGAGTTGAGTGGGAAATCGCTCAGGTTTTAGCTTGGCTATGCAGTGCTAGAGCCCCCTTGCACCCACACACGGCCCTAAACCCCAAACCAGGATACGCGCTTCATCGGCTTTTCGTGCAGCTGCACGGATGGCAGATGAAAGGCACGGGGCTGAGCCTGAAGATCTGGGGGCTTACTGGGTAAGTCCGACACCGCAGAACCCCGAATGCCCTAAACCCAGAACCCCGAATCCCAAAACCCCAAACCCCAAACCGTAGAACCCAAACCGAAGACTAAACCCTACACCGAATCAGTGTGCCAGAAAAAGCAGGCTAGGGAGCTTCATCACACAACAAAAAAGAATGGAACCAGCGACCGCAGACACACATATAGCCGATGAGCTCAATGTCGTGCTTCGCAGCCGTTACAGTATGCATAAACCCGGGCAGGTAGTCGATTCGAAGTGCCTTGAAGCCCGGAGTAAAGCCTTTAACTCCAAACCTTAAGTTGTGAGTCTCCCTTTGTAAAATTGGTTATTCGGAAAAAGGCTCCTTGTTATTCAGGGGTGACTGAGGAACCTAGGGAGTAGGATCCTTATCCTGAGGACACCCAATAGAGGTCAGGTAATCCTTAACTCTGTGAAGACACCGAGAGGTCTCCGAAGGGAAGAGAGCCCCAGTCTTCAAACCGGACATAGACCCCAACTACGAGCATCCAGATTGTAAGTGGGAGTTTCCGAAAATTAGGGGTCCCTTATTTGGGGGTCCTGACAATCAGGATCCTACTATGTGGGGTACTATATTAGGGTCCCCTGTTTTCGGAAGCCCCCAAATGTCTCTAAACTTCGCTCGGAAGTGGCAGCGTTCTGTTTCACCTCTATGGGCCCGAACAGAGTCGGCGCCTTTGGAAAAGGGGCGCTAACATAGATGAAACAAGAACCACATGGTACCCTAAGGGTCCAAAGGACCCAATAATGAGGCACTTAGGTTTTGGATAGTAGTTATGTAGGTTACTATTTGGGAGAGTATATGATTATTAGGTACTTGGACCCTTAGGGGTAGCATCCAGGTCTCCGAATGGAGGACGGCGACTGGTATCGCAGCTCCCCGCTTCCCGCCTTCGGCAACCACCTGCCCCAGCACCTGCACACGCTGCCAACCTCAAAGCATTGGGGTTAACTTATCTTTGGTTAGTAGGGAACGGAGGAATGGGGTACAATTATGACTACTATTACTACCATTCTTCCATTCCCTACTAGCCAAAGGTAGGTTAAGGGGTTCAGGGGCTTCGGTTTCTTCCGTCTGGAGTTTAAGGGGTTTAGAGTTTAGTGTTTGCAGTTCAGGGCCGTTACATGATTAGCTATGTTATTCCCTTCTAGTCACCAATACATATATATATATATATATATATATAAATAGTCTACCATAGCATTCTTCAAAAGCCTACTCTAATTATTAAGGCCCACATGTTACGGGGTCTTGGGTTCCTACTAGGCTTCCTCTAAGCGTGTGTCAGGGTTATTGGTGTAGGCCGGCATCACAGCTGAGGGTTTGGGAGGTTTGGAGGTTTAAGCCTTGGATCTCGAGCTAGGTTTAGGGTTTCAGGTTCAGAATTTTGGGCAAGGAGATGGGTTTAGTTTCTGAAGTTGTGGTTGTGGCTGTCCTTGTCCTCCTGGTCGTTGTCCTTGTCTTTGTTCTTATTGTTCCTGTTCTGGTGCTTCGAATCATCGCATCTTCGGCGGACAAGCCTCAACAACGTGCCTCCCGCCCCCGCCCCCGGCCTGCAAAACTGAATCGTCTAGTAGAGGTCATGTCCTGAATTGACTGCTCTTTGCCTGCGCCCTCAGAATCTGTTTCCCAAAACCCCAAAGTGACCCCAAAGTGAAAAGAGCCCTCAACGCCTGTAGTGGACCCTGAACCCTACCTCTAGCCGAAAAGACCTACCTTTCCAAGGAACTATAAAAAAAAACCAGAATAAGGAACCCCAAAAAGGTAGGTCTTTTCCCCTTTCCCCAACCCCTAAACCCCAAACCGAAGGTTCTTGGAGACACGTGTCTCCCATGGCCTCGACTTGCATGAGCTCGCCATTGTGGCTGGCCTGTTGGAGCACAAGGTGGGAGCTCACACTCCGCGTTTAAAGAGCCCTGTAACCTCAGGCTCCTCCTGACTGCGAGCCGCAGGTCCACGACCAGGCTGAGAAGAGGCTCGCGCTTGCCTACAAGGCCTTGAAGCAGGAGCTGGGCCAGGGCGAAAATGCAGGGTCGGAATAATTACCAGTGCTACTCCCTAAGGTTCCCGGCTATGACGATTTATGAAAAAGGCCACCAAAATCGGGTTTAGAGTTTGGGGATTAAGTCGTGAAGTTCAAGAACCGGGACTGACAAGTATGAGTGGTTGAGAGGCTGCCAAGCCAAGGCAAAGATTGACGCTGACCTTCTGAGTGTGTAGGGTTTTGGGCTGGGGGTTTCAGGTTTAGAATTCAAGGTTAGAGTTTAGGGTTGAGGTCAGGCTGTTGATCCTTCTGCCAGAAGTATAGGAAACAAGGTTTCGAGAGGTTTGGGAGTCGTGGCGTGTGCTCCAGTGAAGCAATGTGATGCCAGGAACGCGCGGCCGTGTCTCGACATGATGCCTTCGACATCATGCACACGTACCTTGCGACGTACATCCTCGGCAAGGAGGATGCAACACAGCCAGCCACTGTTCCAGTGTGCCGTAGCAGTTAATTTGCTAATTGAAGCTGGCTGCATCGGAAACGGCCGTAGCCGTAGCATTGCCGACCGCCTGTAAGTTGCCAACCGTCCGCCTAAACCCAAATATCCCGATCCCAAAAAAACCGTCTAAAACCAGAACCCTACGAAACCCTGTAGAACCCTTGTAAAGGAATTCGGTACCCAGAGAGCCCAATACCGCTCCATTAAGGACTATAGCTTAAATAATAAGGGGATTCATATGATGACTTGAGGATATGAGAGGTATATTCCTTAATTAAGGGGTATTGGGCTCTCTGGGTAGGCTTTTCCTCAAAAACGGCAGGACGAGGGGGAGTCGGAAAGCGTTGCCATCGAGAAGATGTTGACGAACCGACAGCACTTGGATGGAGGCTCGGGGTTTGGGGTATAGGGGTTAGGGTTTATAGGGGTTAGAGTTTAGGATTTAGGGTTTAGGGTTTGGGGGTTAGAGTTTAGGATTTGGGTTTAGGGTTCAGGGGTTAGAGTTTAGGATTTAGGATTCAGGGCTTAGTGTTTAGGGTTGACGGACAGCACTTGCATGGAGGCAGGAGACCTTGAAGCCGAGTTTGGGTTCATAAGGCCACGGTCCAAAGTCTAAGCTTCGACATTTAGGGTTTAGGGTTTAGGGTTTAGGGTTTAGGGTTTAGGGTTTAGGGTTTAGGGTTTAGGGCTTGGGAGTCTAGAGTTGAGGGTTTAGGTGTTTCAGTGTGTAGGGCTTACTTGGAAGGGCGGGGGACTTAGTAAGTAGGTTATAAGTAGAGTTATAAGTACCCTAAATGGAGTTACCCCAATTATAACCCTACTTGTAACCTACTTACTAAGTCCCCTGCCCTTCCAAGTATGGTCTGAGATTGAGGGTTCACGGATAAGGAGTCGAACGAAGAGTGATCCAGACCCACTCAGCCAGTAAATTCGCGAAAAGACGGCGGCGCTGCAGGCTACTACCCACGCTGGACGGAGGCTGCTGATTTGCTGCAGCAGGCCCTCCGGAGTTTTTATAAACAGCGAAACCCCAAACCCTAAGCGCTAAAACCTTAAACCCTGAACCCTAAAACATTAAACTCTGAACCCTAAAACCCTGAACTCTGAACCCTAAAACCCTAAACCCTGAACCCTAAAACCCTAAACCCTGAACCCTAGAACCCTCAGCCCCAAACCCATTAGCAAGGCCGCCGGCTTTCTGCCACGACCGTTTCAGTCACAAGCACTCCCCAGATACTCCAAAACCCCTCAATTAAGGAATATACCTTAAATCAGATTAGGGATCCTATTACAATTTAAGGCATATTCCTCAGTTAAAGGGGTTTTGGAGTCTCTGGGCCTCACAAGCCATAATGCAGATTCCGAACCATACTCCTATGCTATCATCAGCATCATCCTCATGAGACTCATAAGCCATAACCCAGTATCCTCATCATCATCATAAACCCCAAACCCTAAACCCTAAACCCCGAAACCCTAAACCCTAAACCCCTAAACCCTAATCCATATGCTATCATCAGCATCATCCTCACACCCTAGCTCATAAGCCCTGAGCCCCTCCATACTGCAAGGTCCCACGTGCCAAATCCCAGGCCCCTGAACCCCAGACCCTAAACCTTGAACCCATAAACCCTGAGCCCATACGAAACCCAGAGCTTTGCGCGCTTCGCAGGCCGCGGACGCTGTGGCGCCGGGCGCGTCGAGCTTCGAGTTCCACCAGATCTTGGCCACTGGGTAGTTCTTATCTTAGGGACCCCAAAAGGACATAAGCATAAGCATTTGCAGGGTATCCTTGCTTTGTTGGGCATCATTATAAGGGGGTCTATATGGGATATCCCCATCCCAATTTTTGCTTATGTGCTTTTTCGGTGCCCCATTATTTATAATTGTTTGTTTTCTCCTGTGTTTCTTGTTATCCTACACGGTTAAACCCTACACCCTAAACCCGAAACCCTAAACCTAAACCCTAAACCCTAAGCCCTAAACCCGAAACCTAAACCCTAAACCCTAGCCCTAGACCCTAAGCCCTAAACCCGAAACCCTAAACTTACACCCTAAACCCTAAGCCCTAAACCCGAAACTCCTTCTAAAGTCTCAGGCGAGCTTGGAGCGCGTGGCAGATCAGCGACTTGGAAGAACGGCTTAGGGCTTCGGGGATGGGTTCTGGGGTTTGGTGTTTGTCTTTTCGGGCTAGGTCGTACATATTGTATGGGGTGTACATGATTAAGGCGGCTTAACCATGTGCACCCTATAGGGTATGTACACCCTAAACTAAACCCTACACCCAAACCGCAGAGGCTTGTCCGCACGCTCTGAGCGCCCGCAGCTCCCAAACCTATGCAGGGTTTCGCACCCCAAGAAGGGCCGAACCTACGAAACCAGACCGATGAGTTGTGCTTGAGAGGTGGCTCAGGTGCTCGAAAGCAGGCTTGCTGGAGTGTTTCCCTCATCCTTGCTCGGCTTATTGCTTGGATGTGGATGTTTTGTCCAATCAGGAACTATGGGTGCGGCTGCCGAGACGTTTTCGTGCAGAGTTTGGGTGTTGCGGGGGAGAGCTCCCCTGTCTTTCTTGACGATATTCCCTCTAGGGCTAGGGTTTATGTAGGGGATTTGCTGTTTAGAGTTTAGGTTTTCCGAGTTTTGAGCTGTGAGGATTTTCCACCTGGAGAACCGAGAGTGCGGTGCGATCCGACAGCAACTCACACAGCTGGAGGCTGTGGGGACAAGAAACGGTTCATGCGCAAGTTCGTGCTAGGTGTCCTTCATGTCCTTCTTGCTTTATTGTGGTAAAAAATGGAGCATCTTACTTTGTAGAGCTTTTTAGAGATTGGCCCTTCCTATGTGGTAGAAGAAACCCGTCCCATCGGATTTGCAAGTCTATGCCCGAGACTTTTTCAGCTCTTCTCTGAAGACTTGCGTGGGACACAGACGATAACCCTCTCAGGTCTCAAACCGGTTCGCGGTTGATGCCTGGAAACTTAGTCAGTTTGTTGGGTTTTAGGGTTTGGGTTCAGGGTTTCGGGGTTAAACATCGGAAATGGCACCAGACAGCTCGTTGAGCACGCATTCGTGTTTGTATGGTCACCGCCGAGACGCCAAATTTTTGAGGTTTGAAGCATGAAGTGCATCTTAATTCCGAGCTACCGGTCTTGGCTGCGTGTTTTCGACTCGGGGTGCAACCTGAACATGCTGTTTAGGGTACGTCCATCTCCTTGAAGAGAAATCGTGCGAGGACCACGATGCCAGTGGCCGAGTCACTCTGGCGGACTTCTACAACACGACCCTGCACAACTTCTTCTCCAGTACAAGGGCCTGAACAGTCATAATGGGGCTTTGGGCTATATTCTACTGCAGTAAGTCATGTTAACGTGAAATCAACACAGGCTTCTATCTTCTGGTTTACCACCACCGCACACGTGTGGGGGCTTTTGCATAACAGGAACCCAGATTCGAGGTACTCTTGAGGCTGAGATATCCTTCTCCTCCAAACTATAAGCCCATGTGCAGTGCGCTGATGCGGGCAGGTTGCACTTTCTGCAATTCCAGCATGTCAGATTCTGAACCCTGCTGGATGCACCCGAAAGGCACACGGTGGGCCGAGGGGGAATGGGGCCATGTCTCATAACAATATGTATGCACAATGCAAGCCTTGGAAGAGGAGCAAAAGCTTGAAGGAAAATAGATACAAGCAGCCCTACCAAGGTGCATTCACCGAAAGCGAACATTATCTCCGAGACGCCGGGGCATTGGACGAGTCCGTCCCAGGCTGGCTCAAGGTTGAGAGGTCTGAGGATTTTAGGCTTTAGGGTTTAGGGTTTAGGGTTTAGGTCCAGCTTTAGAGCCAACCCTGAACCTTGAAGCCCAAACCCTGCCTGCCCAAATGGGCTCTCTGTGCTGTACTGCAGTATGGAAAAAGGTGTTCCAAAAAAAAAGCCCAAACCCCAGATCGTTCCAGGCATGCCACGCGTGATCATTCCCAACTACCTCATGCTGGACTCCAATTGCCTCGGCTCCTCTGAGTACTACGCCGTGTGCCGGGACTGAGGAATCGGTTTAGGATTTAGGTTTAGAGGTTTAGGGGTTTAGGGGTTTAGGGGTTTAGGGTTTGGGGTTTAGGGTTCTGTGTGATAGTTCTCTTACTGCGCGTGTATGAACATGCATCATCATGCACCAACATCTGCACCAGCACCCGCAACATTTGCAGCACCTGCTGCAACAACGGCGACGATAGCATCTACAGCACCAGTACCACCAACGCACCAGCGTCAGCCACAGCAACCACAAGTCCTCTTGCTGCAGCTACTGCCGCCGCTCGAAAGTAGGTATTCTGATTTCTGGTACTGTGACTGTGGTGTGTATATGATGAGGACGACGATGATCACGGTGAACTCAGAAACGCCGAAGATGGCCCAACTTCGAAACTGAGCTGTTGCCCTCATCGTGCCTTGTGTCGTTTCGTAGATGACATCGCTGAGTATTCCTCCTGGGCGATACCATGTTTGATAAGCATGTGTCTGTGACTGTAGGCTTTGGTGCCATACGTGTCATGGTGGTTATTAAAGCCCGTCGTTCGCTGCTATACCGCGCCCGTCGAAATAAATTGAAGCCGAAACTATATTCTGACACCGTGCCCTACTGTAGATTGCGGATTGCTACCCCTCTTCTTTAATTGCCTTCGTATTCGGATCCCTGTTATAATCCCTTTTGGGGTACAGGGTGCAGTGTTCAGTGGCCCACAGTGCATCGCAAACCTAAAGCCGGACGCTCTACCCCTATTTGCTTGTCTTCGGGTTTGAAGTTCTTGCAGTGAAATTTCTACTTCGACACTGCTCTCAACCAATGTCGAACCCCACCTAATGTTTACCTCTGTGAGAGAGCAGGAATACCTCCAAACCTTATTGTAAACGTAGAGCACCGCTGTGAGCTCTGAGGTCAAACCCTAAACCCTAAACCTTTAAACCTAAGCCCTATAAACGCTGCTCTCCACACGCAAAGCCACCGAAAATCCTGACAGCTCTCAACTCTGGGGTGCTGCTTGAACCCCTAAACCCCAAACCCCAAACCCTGAACCCTAAACCCTAAACCCTGAACCCCAAACCCAGCTCTCAGCTCTGAGGTGCTGCATCGACGAGTGCGAGGTGCTCTTGGACACCATCGAGTCCAAGATCCACGCGCCGACGGCCTCGCCAAAACAGCTGACCCAGTTGCTTTGTTTGCAGTTGTTTTGTTTTCAGGGCGCATTTTTGTTCGGTCATTTCGGGGGTTTAGGGTTTCGGAGGATTTGAGGGCGTTTAGGGCTTTTGGGTTAAAGGGGGGAGGTCCAACGTTTCGAGTTCAGAGTTTGGGGTTCGTTTTGCTTTGTTCCGAGTGTTTTTCGGCTTCAGCTTGGCAGCCAGTGCGTCGAAATCGCAGGCCTCTTTGTGTCGTATGCAAAGCTCTCTTAATAATACACTCCGGCACCCTGTGGGTCCATGCGCAGAAAGACAGCTAAGGTTGGTCTCCTCCCTTGGCGCGGAGTATGCCTTGGATGAGAGGTTGGGCGGTTTAGAGTTCCTGGTTGACGGTTTAGGCTTTAGGCGGCTGAGAGTTCAAGGTTTATAGTGTCTATACGGCTTCGATTTCACGTAACGGTTTAGTTAGGGTTCAGGGTGTTCAGGGGCTCGATCTCAGGATCAGTCGAAGGGGCCTAAACCTCCGGAGTTCTTTGGGGGAAGTCGAATGTGGATTGGCCCTACCCTAAACCCTAAAGTACTAAGACCTAAAAACCCTAAACTCTAAACCCAAACCGTAAACCCGATAGAGCCGGGAGAAGCCTCATTGGTTTCGAACAAACGTTTGCTTTGAAACCGCCTCTTCAAAGAAGGTTGGTTTCCATCGGGGATGTTCAGCAGAAATCCAACGTGTTGGCTGAAAGTTCAGCCAAAGGTCCTTGACAAGATTCCCTGGGTTCAGACAAGCCAACCCCATTCGCCAAGCGAACGTCATAACTGTTATCTTCTTGAATCTCTATATCTGGTATGCAGAAGAAAGTTGGAGCTTTCGTGTGGGCGCTTTTCGAAGAAGAGAGCACCCTAAACCTAAATCCTGAACCATGAGCCCTGAACCCCCACCGCAACCCTCTCTGCCCGAACCCTAAACCCTAAACCTTAGCCCCTAAACTCGGAACAAAACATAGACCCGAAATCCTAAACCGCAAACCCGAAATCCCAAACCTTAAACCCTAAGCGCTTTAAGCCCTACACCCAAACCCCTTAAACCCTAAACCCTCAACCCGAAACCCTATAAGCCCTAAACCCTAAACCCCCTAAGCCCTAGACCCTAAACCCCATAAGCCCTAAACCCTAAACCCCATAAGCCCTAAACACTAAACCCTATAAGCCCTAAACCCTCAACTCTACAAGCCCTAAACCCTAAACTCTCAAGCCCTACACCCTAAACTGGACAAGCCCTAAACCCTAAACCCCATAAGCCAAAAACCAAGCCCTACCTTAAGCCGGAATAACCTACCTTTTTAAGGACTTAAATAAGGAAATCATAATAAGGAACCTTAACAAGGTAGGTTATTCCGGCTTAAGGTACACCCTAAGCCCTAGACCCTAAACCCCATAAGCCCTAAACCCTAAACCCCATAAGCCCTAAACACTAAACCCTATAAGCCCTAAACCCTCAACTCTACGAGCCGTAGACCCTAAGAAGGTCCTGGACTGAACTCCAAGCCCGCCTTGGTGACATCGCCGACAGCGAGGGCCAAGTCCCTCTTCATGGACGCCTCTTTGCCCAGTGGCCCCTGGGCTGTCGGCTGTCGGTTCAGGGTTTACGGTTTAGGTTGTAGTGTAGGGTTTAGGGTTTAGGGTTTAGGGTTTAGGGTTTACGGTTTAGGTTGTAGTGTAGGCCTCTTTGCCCAGAGGCCACTGGGCTGTCGGTTTCGGGTTTAGGGGTGTAGGAGTTTAGGGTTTAGGGTTCAGGGGGTTCGGAGGTTAGGGTTCGGGGGTGTAGGTTTCCTCGAGGGCTTTGAGGGCTTGGGGTTTAGGGTTTGGGTTTCGGGATGTTGGGATGATGTTGGGTGTAAGATGAAAGGGTTTGGGCTTCAGGTTCTACGGTATCGGTGTAGGATTTAGATACTTGCGGCACAGGTTTTGAAATCCTGCAACCCAAAGCTGGCAGCATACTCGAGGGCTCGTGATGTCCGAGCAAAATAATCGAAACTGCCCGCACCCGAGCTTTGAGACTCAGCGAAGTTGTAGCAAACCTTGGTGTCATGAGGCCAAAGCCCCGAGACCCAAAGCCCCACTACCCAAGAACCCAGACCCTGAGGAAGCCTAAAAACAAAACCCCTACACCCTGAACCCCTAAACCCTAAAGCCAAGAACCTTCTCAGTGAGCTCCGAGGCTTCACCATGCGTTCCCACGCGTCTGCCCCTTCCCTCACGAGGCAGGAGCTGCAGCGCTGCGTGTTTGTGTTCCTTCGCTTTCGCCTTTAGTTTCATGATACTTCTTCTTCTTCTTCTATGCCTGCAAGTGTTACTACTGCTACAACGACTACGACGACGACGACTGCTACAACGTGCTACAACTGCTGCTACGCCTCCTCCTGTCCTCCTCCTCCTCCTCCTACTACTACTACCACTACTACTACTACTACTACTACTACTACTACTACTACTACTACTACTACTACTACTACTCCTACTCCTACTACTACTACTACTACTACTACTACTACTACTACTACTACTACTACTACTACTACTACTACTACTACTACTCCTGCTGCTACTACTACTACTCCTGCTGCTACTACTACCACTACTACTACTACTACTACTACTACTACTACTACTACTACTACTACTACTACTACTACTACTACTACTACTGCTACTGCTACCGCCACCCAATGCCTTAAAAATCCTTCAAAACGCCCTTCAACTCTAAATTCCGAAGGCCCGCAGAATCCCCAAATCCTTAAAGTCTGCAAGTCCCTAAGACTCCCAGGCCTTTAACCCTAAACCCCAAACCAGGAAGCCTAAACCCTATAGACCCTGAAGGAGGAACCCCTAAACCCTAAACCCTTAAACGCAAAAATCGAGAATTGTACGAAGCTAGCCCTAAGCCCTAAACCCTAAACCATTAAATTAGAGGCCGGGAGCTTCCTGGCATCCACAGCGGCGCCCCTAGAGGCGAGTGCAGAAGCGATGAGGCCCGGCATTTTTTTGTGTTTTTTGTTTTGTGGGTTTAGGGTTTTGGGCCTTTTGCTTTGTTTGTTTTTTTGTGGTTCGGAGTAGAGGTGTTTGCGGTTTTTCGGGTTTGGTGGAGGGATTTGGAGGGGTCTGGGGGTTTAGCCACCCTGCCATCCGAATCTTGAAAGTAACTTGTCTGGCCTCGAAACCTAGCTTGTAGCCCTTAAATCCCATTTAACTTTGTCAGGGAAGAGAGAGTAATATAGACCCCTGATTCAAGAACCCTTCTCCCTTGACATGCAGTGTAATCGGGACCCGAATATTCAGGCCCTTAGGGATGTGCGGCCCCAAACCCTGAATCTCAACTATTGGAGTTTAGGGTTGGGGGTTTGGCGAGTTTTCAAGCCAAAGGTTGCATACATCTTACCACAAGGAAGGTTACATAACAATTGTACAGGATGCCATCGTGGTCTCGGGGTTTGTGTTTCTGGTTGAGAGGTTCACTAACCTTGTTGAAGGGAGCATAAGGGAGCTAGTAATTACGGCAAAGACGCCAGCACTGCAAGCTGAGCGGCTGAGAGCTACAGGATAGTCTCTAGACTTAGCATGGCTGTTTAGGGTAACTCTACGAAATTTGCAGTACAATATGCCTCCAAAATGCCATGCGAAATCTCCACGCACGCAGGACAAGGAAACTTACATCTGAACTACCCTGAACCCTAACTCTGCCAAGTTGCTGTTGACCCGAAGCCCTGGCAACAACCAGAAGGAGCCGGAAGGATAAGCAACCGGGTTTAGGGATTAGGGTTTAGGGATTTTAAGGTTCAGGGTTTAGGGTTTCGGGTTTAGGGAGTAGGTTTTAGGGGTTAGGGTTTAGGGGCAGTTCAAAAAGAGCCTCTGCACAGTTTAATGGGTACCCCTCACGGAAGGGTATGGGGCTCCCTGGGAAACCTGTTGTAGGGTTCCTCGTTATAGCTATACGGTACTACACCTCAAAACCGAATTCTAACTGTTGAAGTCCGCAATACTGCTCCCAAATTCTACTCCAGACTCCAGCCTCTTACTCAGGTCGCGCATTGATGAGGCGGGCTTCCGTGAGCAATAACATAAGGACTTAAACGATTGCCGCTGTCGATCGATCCTTAGGGTTGCTTACTCATATTCTAAAAGTTATTAGAATATTGAATGAATAATTTCCCAGTATTCCTTAGCCAGCGTTATGACTATAGTATGCAAAGATCTAATTACTTTAAAGCCTCGAGTTTTTTTGAAGCGTAAACCCTCATGTGTGAGTTCGTGCACGGTTCTGGGTTTAGGCTTGGCAGTTTGGGGGTCAAGGCTCGTTGAGGACATGTTGCAACATCGGATCTACAGTTCAGGGTTCAGGTTTACGGTTTAGGGCTTGAAGTTTAGGGTTTATAGGGTCTACGGTTTAGGGTTTGGTGTCTAGGCTTTAGGTTCAGGGTTCTACTCCCAACGGACCCTGATACCTGCGGCAAAAGCAAAGGCTGACTGCCATCAGAGTCAGAACCACAGGCCCTAAATCTTGGACCGCGTTTCTGGGGTCCCTGCAACAGGAATCCTACGGCTCTAGGGTTGCGCCTTGGAGCCGGATCTAAAGCTTTCAGAAGTAAGCCCTTGTGTCCGGGAGCCTCGCTACGCAGGCCCCGGACAAGTCCACCACGAGCTTGGAGCAGTAACTTGCTTGAAGCCAGAAGGCTTATATAGTCTTTAGGGATTAGGGAATATATATATATATATATATATATATACATACATGTTAACTTGCTTGAAGCACAGTTTTGTTGGTGGGTTTCAATGGCTTCAAGACAGGATGTCAGGGTGTACGTGGGATGTTCTCGTCGAGGTTCTCGGTTTAGGGTTTTCGCAGGCTTGAACAGGATGTAGGGGTTCTGGTGCGCGAGCGCGCCGTCACTGACTTAAAGCAAGCACCCCAAAAGCAAAAGCCACGCCATATGCCTCAGCATGCGATCATAGGCGGCAAGCCGCCAATCCGACAAACCGAAAGCCCTAAACCGTAGAAGCTAAACCTGAAGCCCTAGACCCTAAACCCCAAATCCGACACTTTAGGTGAGGGTTCAGTGCCACGGGGTGTTCTTCCTTCATGTTGAGAAACTTTCATCAGTGCCAGCCGCTTGTTGCACAGGGGTCTAGGGGACTTCATCGGCTGCAGGACATGGTCATCTCGAGTGTTTCTCTTTGCAGCGCCGGCGAGTCGGCGAGGTTAGAAGCTTGCTTAGCCTCCCTGGTGCTTAGCAGGGAATGGGGGAGTGGATCCGGGAATGGGGAGTGGATCCCTCAAGTAGTCCCTATATGATCAATAATAGTCCCCACAATCAATTCCCCCATTCCCTATACTAATCACCAGGGGGTAACGTGTAAGATGTACGACTACTGCGCCTACAGGAAAAAGAGGCCGGGGGTTGCTAGTCTTTGGGTACCCTCTCTAAGCTTTGGTGTGCCAAACCATACCACCGCGCAAACCTTGAAATCCTAGCACCATACGTCCAAAGCCCAAACCCGCGAATGCGGTGCAGATCCGAGGTTCAAGTATGCCATGTGGACTGACACGGAGCAGCTCGTGGATGCCAACAAACACCAGGCATGCAGATGGTTCATCTCAAGTCCTCGTTGGCTTGGCTTCGGCGTAGTTTACACGGATGCGAGGGGAGGTGAGGAATAGCGAGTATTACGACCAGAAGCTGTATCATATGCTTAGGGTGAATCATCGCTACTCGTAGTATTAAATTAGTATGGTGTGGGAGGTGCCGGTGGTGGTGATGGTGGTGATGGTGGCGGTGCGGGGGTGGTAGTCCCTTTCGCGGTCGTCGTCGTCGACTCAACAGTGCCCAGTATAACAGCAACCGCAGCATCGAGGAGGGCGACAACGAAGATAACAAAATCATAAGGACCACAACATCAACCGGTGACCATGACAGCAATGTTGGCGGCACCCGAGCACACTGCTATACCTTTGTTTCTGCTACTTCCACATGCGTTGTAGCGCAGTTAGTTCTTTGTTGGTGCTACTTCCACAGGCGTTGTAGCCTCTGGGCTCTATGCAGCTGTCCGTCTTCCCCATTTGCCCTTGTACGACTTTCCCGACAGCAATGTTTGCAACGACAGACAAGCGCAGTAACAACCACTTCGAGAATGGCGATGACTGCAGCACCGGCAACCTGCATCAGCAGCTTGAGCTAAGAGTCCCAGGGCTCATCTTCCCGTTCCGAAGCCCTAAAACCTAACTCCTGACCCGAAATCAGCTACGCGAGCACCGGAAGGTTCGATCTTGGGGCCGTTCCTACGTCTCCATTCTGATGTTTGCGGGTGTTGTCATCGGCACTGCCCGGCCCTCGGAGGTTCGCAGGACCTCTCGTCGTTCTTACATTGAGGACGTTGCAAGGGGTTCATAATATACGTACATGTATCATAAGCATATCTACATGGTTTTTGATTTTGTCATCTAAGATGGGAACAGGGGTAGTGCGGGTGTATGAAGAGGAACAGGAGTATCATCCCAAGGCGAGTAGAGCTTTAGAGTCTCCATGATAGAGTTCAAGGCTCTGCGATCAGAAACAGGTTTAAGGTAAAAGCCAGAAAGCTGGAATATCATTATCCTAAACCCTTTATGGTAAATTATAGGGTATCCTACCCTGAAACCATATTCCAACTTTCTGGAGTTCCCCGTAGGGTCAAACCCTAAGCACCCTGAGGGCGTGCGGCTTCGGCTTCAGGCTTTGCAGGTTAAAGAGGCCCCTAAACCCCTAAAGCCCGAAGCCCTAATAAACACCTAAAAGTTTAGGGTTTAGGGTTTAGGGTTTAGGGTCTATAAACCGCAAAACCCCAAACCCACCACACTCAAACACAAAAAGCAACCACACTTCTACCCCAAAGCCTTTCCGAGGTCTCCTCACTGGCGAAGCTGGCCCCTCCTGTAGCCCGGAAGGTGGATTAGTGAGGCAGCCGTTGGCCTCGGGAGATTGACATGGATTTAAGAGCATCAGTAAGTATGCAGTAGTATTGATAAACCCTAAGAGCCACTAAGAGCAGTGAGAATTTCGTGCCATGACTTTGGCTGTTCTCAGCTGGAAGTTTGCATCCAGCTTGATCTTCAGCCACCATTCACCATTACGGCCATTCCCAGTCTCCACCGCCGCCACCACCACCAACACCCTCAGCACGCACACCACCCCCAACACCTTCAACATCCTGCACACCACCAACACTACCAACGCTGCCAACATCGCCAACACAACCATCACCGCCGACACCAACAGCGCCACACCGCCGCCAACACCACCATTATCACCACCGGTGCCACCACTGCCCACTACAATCTATTCAATGCTGCTTCTCAGTTCTACCGGCAAGTACCTTTCACTGCCTGCCACTGCCTACTTTTACCTGCCACTTCCCCCCGGCTGCACACTGCGGGTCTACTGCTGTATGCTACTGCTGCGACTTCCACAAATGTTACTAGACCACTCCTACTGCTCCTGCTGCTGCTGCTGCGACTGCAATTGCTTGGATACATCCCACGAGTGTCACCAGCACCACTATCTCTGCTGCTCTTTCGACTACTTTGTGCTACTTTTGCCGTAGTGTAAAATAGATGGTTGGACGTGACGACATGGCAACCCCTATCGGCCAATCGGTGATGGGTCATCTTCATATGCTTACCTTAATTTGCAGTTATTCTGGCATTCTTTGATTCTCTTTCGAACTTTCCGTCTGTTCTTGTGCAGGGCTGTGAACTCTATCTGCAGGAGCTTTTGATTGAGGGTGTCTGGTAACCGCTCCGCGGACAAATGGCTTACTGCTTGGGTCACAGCTTCAGGACCTAGCCCAAAGCCCTGCACGCTAAACCCTCAACTGATTTAGTGCATTCTTGGGGTATGAGGTGTGTGTGGTTTGGGGCTTGTCTTTTCCTCCCCTGTCCGGCGCTGCAGCCCGCTTCCTACATGAGCTCAAGGCGTCTCACCTTCCAGGCATCCGCCCTGCAGCGGCAGTGCTTGCACAAAAGAGATCAGGCACTTTAGGAACTGCTTCAGGGTTTCAATACGGGAGTTTCCGAAAATAGGGGACCCTAATCTAGCACCCTAAATAGTAGGATCCTTATTATAGGGACCCCAAAATAAGGTACCCCTAATTTTCGGAAACTCCTATATAGACGAACAAATCCCCGTAATCCCCAGGTCCAGACACCCCAGGAGTTGCAGGTGCGATGGCGGTAGGAAGCCACTTGGGAGTTTCCGAAAATTACGGGTAGCTTACTTTGGGGTCCTTATGATAAGAATCCTACTATTCAGGGTACTATTTTAGGGTCCCCTATCTTCGGAAACTCCCACTTCGCAACTCCAGCATTCGGAGGCTCTTCCTCGCGAAGCCTACAGGTTTCTAGCGTTAAACCCAGAGACACCCAGAGAACTCTATTCAGGAAAGTTCTTCAGCTGTCATCGAAATCCCCAGTACGAAACCTGAAGCCGCACCAGGTCGGAATTTTCCTTGAACCACTCGCAGCCCAGAAACCCTTTCAACAGCAACTTCCAAACCGCGTCGACATCCGGGAGTAAATCGTCATACGCCTTCTTAGCTGAAACCTGAAGCTTGAGCCGTGGAGAAGCCCTATCAAACTAATCAAACCCCAAAGAACACTTGAAGCTCCATGAAACCCTCCATAGGATCCCTAAGCCCTAAACCCAACAACCCTGCAACCCAAAAAACTTTAAACCCTGCAAAGGCCGACTCAAGAGCTCTCCCCATAGGATCCCTGAACCCTAAAAACAACCACATAAACCCAGAAAAGCCCCATTAAAAATCCTATAAACCAACAAAGCCCCACTGAAGACCCTATAAACCGATTAAAGCCGCACTAGTAAAGAGCCCTCCCCGAGGTTTGGCGCGGTGTCGCCGGGCAAGCGGGTGCCGCAAACACTGGAGCTGATGAACACGACACCGGCCGGGGGCGTGGGCTTGGGGTTTGGGGTTCGGATTAGGATTTAGAGCCTAGGGCTTTGAGGGCTCACCTCCCGTAGGGTTTAGGGTTTAGGATTAAGCATTTAGGGCTTGGGGTTTAAGGATTTAGGGTTTGGAGCTTGCGGTTTAGGGTTAGGCTGAGGGGTTCCTTCAATAAGGGCTGGTAGTTGTAAGGGCTACTATACGGGCTTCGTGTAGGGGCCCGAACAATTAGGATAGTAGCCCTTATAGTAGCCCTTGTGGGACCCCCAAAGTCTACTGTAAGGGTTAGTATACTGGTTTCGTACAGGGTCCTGAAGAATTAGGATTGGGTTTCGGGGTATCTTATTGTATTCGTTTACAATGTCGGCGGGTCCTCCACCCAAGCGATCTTGCCCCAAGCCGGGAAGCCGCATGGTATAGAATGTAGAAGCCTGAACAGTTGGTACTCCGATGTACCCCCCATTGGTTTGGGTTCCTTATTATATCTATGGCAAAAGCTACCCCAAAACCTTATCACACTTATTAAGGCCTCTACATTGAGGAACCCTGAAAGTTGTGATGGGCTGCCTTCTGGCCAGTAAGGGAGGCTTCTGAGTTAAACTTTTAAAAAGGTTTACTATAGGGGCCTCAATAATGACCTATACTATTTTGGGGTCTCCTTAACACATTATGGTATAATGTACCACAAAGGCCTATTCTAATTACTAGGGCCGTTATATTAGGGTTTAGGGCTTTGTCTGGCTTTCGTGCTGAAGAGTCGATCCACGACGCAGCACCAGGGATTGGGGTTTATGGTGTTGGGCTCGGGGTTTAAGGTTAGGGCAAATCCTCTGAAATTGCATTCTGGATTTCGGGACAGCAAAAATGCCAAACAAAGAGGAGTCTGGCAGCATTAGTTTTGCATTTTCGCATGCTGGCATTGCAAGAACGCCTTCTCGTTGAGGATGAGAGCGCCGGCTCTGGTACGTGTTGAAGTTGACCTTTGAAGCACTGTTGAATTTTCGGGCGCCTTCTGTTCGAAGACATCTGGACGGGCAAGTTTGGGAATGCATTGGTTTGCAATCGCAGCCAAGAGCTGCCGACCACAACCGTAAAGCCTTAAAGCAACCCTTATACAAAGAGTTGCAGGAAGCATTGGAGTATCCTTTATCGGAACATGTACAGTAGAGGAGGCGTCAGAGTGCCCAAAGCCCCACTCCCCCGAACCTACGACCCAGAACGGTTGACGCCCTCAAGTCAGCAACCCAAAAATCTGCAGCCGGTAAACCTCTGAACCCCAGCGATTCCTTATGTATGGTGATGTACTCTAAGGTGCCCCAGAAACCTTAGTCTAATTAGCAGCCTCTAGATTACACCTTGAAACCTGAACCCTAAACTTACGTTTGGATATGTAGGGAATGGAAGAATGGTAGTAATAGTAGCTATAATTATACCCCATGCCGCCATTCCCTACTAACCAAAGGTAAGTGAAACCCAAACCCTGAACCTCAAGCCATGCAGCTGCCTGTGAGGTGCGCGCGGTGTTCAGAGTGCGGGCCATGCTCGACCCATCCGAGGCTTCCTGGTGACGTCGCTTTTTAGGGATTTAGGGGTTTAGGGTTCAGGCTTTAGGGGTTTAGGGTTTAGGGTTTGGGGTTCTCTGAAGGTTCAGGGTTTAGGGCCTTTAGGGCTCTCGGGATCTTGGCTCTACCATGGCTTCATTCACAAGGGTTTTAAAGGGACTCTGAAGTTTTAAAGCCTAAGCTTCGAAGGTGTAGAAGATGGTTTGACGGTTTAGGGTCTGGGCTAGCTTTGGGGTGTAGCGTGCATGGCAGGATTTACGTGATTAGAGCTGTTTAGGGTTCAGGGTGAGGGGATGACGTAGATCGGGGAAGGCTATCGCAAAAAGACTTGGGACGCCTGCAAACCACACTGAAACGAGACAGGGTTAGAATCACGACACAACGTTGAAAATATATGGGTAGTTGTCAAAATTAAGGTACCTTTTTGGGTACCCCAAATAATAGGTGCCGTATTATAATAAGGATGCAAAAAGGACCCTAATTTTGACAACCGCCCAAAGGTTGTTCTGTTTCCGCTCTGTGCGTGTGTGTGCTCTTAGCATGGTCCCGGGACCCCCGCCGCAAGCCTGAGCTCCTACCTGGACCCTAAGCAACCTACCTTTGTAGGGTTTCCGAATATGAGTTCTTTATATAAGTCCTTAAAAAGGTAGGTTACTAGGGGTTAAGGTATACCTGAAACTACTTCGAGGATCATGAGACTTAGTAAGTAAGGTTACAAGTACCCTAATTGGAGTTATAAGTATAGTTACCCTATTTAGAACCCTAGTTACTAAGTCCCCTGATCCTCCAAGCACAGGCCCCAGGCCCTAGGCAGAAATCCTAAGCCCCCCGAACTCTAAAACCGTCTCAGACATCGCCACTGCCTCCTTCGGCCTTTTGGGTGAGCCCCGAGTCCGGCGTTGTCAGGGGCCCACAGGGATGTGCAGTATGCTCGGGTTTTTTGGGTTTAGGGCGGTGCATGCGCCACGGGTTCCGGGTTTAGGGCTTTTAGGTTTGGGCTTAGGGTCTGGGAGATTGTAGCTGGGATTGAAGCATTGAGGTAAAGGGTTCAGGGCATAGCACCGAGTTTAGGAGCGAAGCCAGCACAAACACTTTATGTGGTATGGTCCGAGTCGCCAAAGTCAAAGTGTCAAATCAAAGCACTCGCATTCCTTTGGCATTCTTGCTTTCTGTAGACGGCTGATTAGCCAACCCTGCTCCCTGAAGCAGGATAAACATAGGGATCCTAATGCCACGGGCCTCAAAAAAAGAGAGAGCTTACTCATCAAAGGTACATAATACAGGGGCTTCAACAATTACCTAGGCTGTTTTGAGGGTTCCTTATGATAACTGTAGTATATTGGGCACTCAAACCCTATTCTAATTATTCAGCCCCTACATTATAGATCCCTACTATAGATGCCTTATATAGTAACCCTTATAGGCCCCTTTTTAA